TTTGATATTGGTCTGATTAAGCACCTGGGAGCCTGAGAAGGGAGAATTTACTTTTATTTTTGGGCCAGCCTGGGCAAGAAAAACAGAAAAGAGATAAAAAAAGTTTTGATCATAGAGATCCCATGCTACCAGATGTTTTTATTATTTAAGAGAAATAAAGTCCTCCTCCCAACCTGGGTAGACAAGATATACAACTATTTCTCTTTAAGGACAATAAACTGATCTCTGGAAAAGCTCCATTCATATTATTCATTTTTATATTAAGGCAGGGCCTAGAACCATGTAGTGCAAGCTGGGTTCAAACCAACATTCTCCTGCTTGCGGGGAATACTATATGCCACTAGGCTTGCATCAAACTCCTACTTTCAAAAGCTTCCCATCCCACATTTCTTTTGAGAGAAAATAAAGACCAACCATCCACATAATTCTACTTTACATTTTCACACTTTACCAGAAAAAGAGGGGGATGGGGTGGGGGTGGAGGACGACAAATCTCTCTGTTCAACAGCCTTGGCTCACAGAGATCCAACTGCCAACTACCTCTGCTGGGATTAAAAGTGTGTATCACCACATAGGGCTTCAAAAATAATTTAAAGAGTATCCAAAAATTTCCTTTGTATTTTATTTAAAAGACTGGTGCCTAGTAGTTTCTGGGTAAATTTAGGACACTAAACAATAAAGATTAAGGTGTAATTAAACATTTGACTTTTTTTTTTACCTCACCAGTATAGGAAGCTAGAGCTAATGGCCAGTGATTAAATCAACCATAGCTACTGAGTGAAGTTTCCAAAAATCCCCCTCCCAAAACCAAACAAACTGGGTTGAATGAACACAGATTTCTGGAGGGTGTCCCTCAAGACAGAAAGGGTATGGATGCTATTTACCTTTTACTCTCATATTCTTTTGCCCTATGCATCTATATTCTTTGTTCTTTCCTTTATATTCTAGTTATATTTCCAAGTTTCATGAGTCACTCTAGCAAGTTAATTGGCCTAATGAAAAGAAGGTAGAAATGTTTTAGTGTTGGTGAGAAGCACTAGTAGAAAAATAAGGGACTTGATATTGGCATTGGAAGTGGTGAACAATTCTGTGGGAGCAATCTGTGACATGGGAAGCCTCCCCAGGCAGGCTTTATTGGAGTCATCTAGAGTAGTGGTTCTCAACCTGTGATTTGCGACTTCTTGGAGGAGGTTGTCGACTCTCCCAGGGGTGACATATTAGATATCTTGCACACCAGATATTTGTATTTATAATTCATAGCAGTAGTAAAAAAACTACAGTTATGAAGTAGCAAAGAAAATGATTTTATAGTTGGTTGTGGGTCACTATAACATGAGGAACTGTTATTTAATGGGTTGCAGCATTAGGAAGGTTGAGAACCACTGAATTAGAAAAACCGTAGCTAATATGGATAAAACCAGCTGCTTGGCATGTGCTAAGAACAAATTTCTATTTAGCTGGTTTTATTTGATCTATGTTTTGAGAATAAGATTGTAGTTAAGTTTGTTAGTCCTACATTGTCACAACCAGAAATGAGGAAAATTAAAAAGAAAACTAAGATAATTTACAAAATGCGAAGCAAAACAAACTAACAATACCCCTTTCCCAAACCAAAAACCTTTAATCACACAGTTCTGGAGACAGGTAAGTCGAGTACACATCATTTATGAGAGATCATATGGCAAAAGCAAAAGACATAAGCAACTGAGAGGTAAGAAAGGCATAAATATTTTAAGTCATTCTGTCATCCCAGTGATAAGGCTTGTGTGTGTGGTTTGTCTATGTGTATAGTCGGGGAATTGGGACAGATTATTATTCTAGAGGCCAAGCTGACTTCAAACTCATAAGTCTCCTGCCTCAGCCTCCCAAATCCTGGAATTATAGATCTTTATCACTACATCCGGCTAAAAAGTTAAAATTCTCAAACTATGTTCATGTTGTAGTTGCCCAGTTGCTGGCCTGAACACCAATCCAGATCAGTTGAAGGACTTTAAGACTTAAGTTTTGGGAAGAAACACAATCTCAAGACTATCAGAAACCCCAAGTTTCCAACCTAGTTTACATTAAAAACTCTAAAACCAACATGAATTTCTACCCTGCTGGTTGACCTTGGGTTTCTCAAAATTCATTTTAACTGATTAGTAATTATATTTAGTGGTGTAGTATATGCTTCTGATTTAACCTTGTCTCAGCACCTACTTCAAATACAAATTGAGCTTTATAGTAATAGAGGTAAGGCTCATCTAACCACCAATTTTCATGCCCTACCCCGAGACAAGTGTTTCTCTGTGTCTTAGAACTCACTCTGTAGACCAAACTGGCCCCAAACTCAAGAGATTCATCTGCTTCTGCCTTCCAAATGCTGGGGTTAAGGGAGTGTGCCACCACCGCCTGGCAATTTTTTATAGCACACTCCAAATGCCTTAAGAGTACAGCCATGAATAAAACCTCCAGAGAGGTCTCTGCAGTCCCATGAACTTCCAGGACTCCTGTTCCTAGTCATCACCAGCGACTGCCTGTTTCTACCTCTACTCTCCCTGACTATGCTAAACCTTGTGTGGGACACTTACCTATGCCACTACTCTCCAGGGTGTGCGAGTACTAAAAACTCAAACTGTGGTTTTCTGCAGTAGGAAGCAAATCCACTCTGCAAGGAATACATGCACTTGCATGTTACTGCTCTTCTGTCCCAGATGCCAGATAAGCTGAAGAAACTTAGTTATAAGCAAAGCATACACCATGTGTGCTTTGTGTTTATATTATAAAGCTCCATAAGCTAATCAACATAATTGCCAGTTCACTAATTTACCATTTTTGTGCGAGCATTTAAAATGACTTTAGCAATCTTGAAATGTCTATTATATTATTACTTACTGTGCTAAAGTGCAGCAAAAATAAAACACTGAAATATACTCTGCAGTCTAAACGAAACTTGTACTACGCTCCCCTTGCCCCGCCCTCAGCCTCTGGCAACCACTCTTCTACTACTTCTGTAACAGTAATTTACAACTCACGTAACATTAAACACAGCATTTGTCTTTCTATGCCTATGAATGTTCCCTATTTCCACCTGTAAATGACAGTTTCCTTTTTGTGAAAGGCTATGGGGTATTAAATTATATACTATACATTAACTTTTTGTTGTTTATGTTTGCTGAAGACAAGGTTTTACTTTGTAGCTTGAGCTGGCCTGGAATTTATGGCAATCCTTCTAAGCTACCTGAGGGTTGGATTTACAAGTATGAGTCATATGTCCACCTACAAACACTAAACAACAACCCCTCCCCCCAACACCAGTTATAAATACTGATAAACTCAAAATTAAATTGCTAAGTCAAACATAACTATTGTCACAAAGAATAGGTTGAGTGTTTATAAGGATATAAAAAAGGAAAACTGCAATACGGATGGAAATGTAAATTAGCAAGCCAATTTGAAAAAATGTTAGGGAAGTTCCTCATAAGACTGAAAGCAGAAGAGGAAACAGTTCAACCAAGAAACTATAAGTTGCTATCACTGTAAGTAACCAAGTTTTAGGGATGAATTGGTTGACTTCTCACATTCTTTCTTCAAGTTTCTTTAATTCTTGAAATGTAAAGCTAATTACTGTATAATTTTTGTCTCAAGGTTCTTTTTTTCACTATATAGCAATAGATAATACTGTAAAGAAAACAAGGCTCAGAAAGTGCTAAGGAGACAAAGTTATGAACAAAATCAATAAAAACTAGGTGACCAGCAGACTTGAGGACCAATGAAGTCAGCAGGTGAGCAGAAGACAAGTTTCTTCTTTTAAGCTCCTCTGACATTAGACTAATGAAGACATGGAGAAGATCGGAGTTTGAAAACACCTAGACTCAGAATGAAGTTTTCATCTTTTCCCAGCTGTACAGCTACTGATCATGCTAGCACTTCAAGATTAAAGTACGCAAGCAAAAATCATCTCCATAAGTAGTTCAAAAATTTTCCCCCAAATCCTCTATTTTTAGCTCTGATAAAAAAGCAACTTTAAAAAACCTAAGAACACTCCAGTAGTACTCATTTCCTATCTACATTTTCTCCCGCATAGTTAAGATCTCCAAAGTGATTTCTAAGCAAGAAACAGACCTTCCACATTTGGCAGACAGTAACATTTTCCCAAAGAGTAACAAGAATCTTGCTAGACAAAACCAGTCATGTCTTATATACAATACTTCTACCTGGTATTTGAGATATTAACTTTACATTCCAAATATCAGAGAAAAACTCAAGGAAGGAAATTGACAAAAGTCTCAATTCAAGTTACTGGTTCCTAATCGCACTGTCATTCTTTCAAATATTATAAAAAAACCACAAGTTTTAGATGTGACTTAAACAGTTACAAAGCATACTTTATTAGAAAAAGCTTTTCATGTAAGTTACAGATATATAAAAATTCTTATGTATTTGTACATCTATCACACACATAAAGTTCACAACTAAAGATTAGAAAAATACATAATTGGCATAACACAATGGAGGATTTTTTTTTTAATAGCTCAATTTGGAAATTCAGAACAAAGTCTTATATTTAAAAGTGAACATTAGCTTCCCTTCATAATCAAGATAAGAAAACTACATTAACACATGTATTTCATTTGGCAAACTATAAATAGAAATGACCTAATGATTTTTTTCAATTATTCATCAAGCTATCTTAGCATACTTTTTGCATTCTTCAAACTACTAGTCCACTAGTTTTCAGGATTTGCCTACACTTTACTGTTACTACTATAATTTTTGGCTACTTCTTAAAAAAAATAGCTAGCTTTATAAATTCGAGTGGCTTTTAAATTATAATCCATTACTGAGTTTCCAAATCCAAAGACACTGTATTGTCCAATACTGCTTGCAGTCATCTAAACAAATTCTAACTTCTACGGCATAAGGTTCCCTTGAATGGAACAGCACTGAATAATCAGTGCCGTTTCTATTAGACTACAAAACAGTACTTTCTACACACGAAAGAGAAGAATGAATCTTACCTTTATCAGTTGTTATTTTTTCTACACACCTGAAAGAAATAAATCAAGAGTTAAATGAATAATTTTGTACATTTCCTTAAAACACAAGTATTTGTTTTAGATTCATCTCTAGAATAATATAGAAAGCATCTATAGTATGTTGTTCAAAGCAAAGCCTAACTTTCAACAATGGTAGAAATAGCCTTTCTGTACTATTTCACGTGGCTGCTGATCACTTGAAATAGTAACTGAAACTGAGGAACTCAATATATTGATTAATCAATATTAAAGAATGGGTACTATAATCAACAGCACAGAAAGAGAATATCATCTGAAAGAGTTGTTTTTAATCATTAAAAAAAAACAAGGAAAATGTTGCTAATTTTATTAAAAGTAGCTAAGAAAGAAAATAAATGTCCTTATTTTATACACGTACAGTAAGACTAAAATGACATCTGAGACCTCCTAGGAGGTAGCAAGGACGGTAAAATCTCAGTTAACTCTCACTCACTGTAAATACTGAAGTTTTGTTACATCACTTCCTTCACTTTATATGGAACAATCTTCCTAACAAAATATAATCAATTTTAAGAGTCCTCAAAATTGATCACTAAATCCAGTAAAAATTTCTAAAAAGTCAATATATGCACATCTGAAACAATATTTATACTTCACAAATTAAATACAAGTTAAAAGCTCAAAAAGTTATAAGCCTACTGACTTAAAAAAACAAAGTGACCTCCATGATTTGAATTTGGGATAGCTTTTATGACATGTAACTGGTAGATACAGTATTGTGAATTCCGTACCCCTTTCCCAAACACAGAAGTAAACTGGCTTCCTATTTGTCATAAAGATAACACACAGTATCTAACAGTGAAAGATTGCTAGTAAACATAATTAAAAAATGTTTTGTGAAAGAAAAGCTGTCATTTTGCCTTAATTTAAAAAAGCTTAGTACCATGATGACTTGACACAAACTTCCCACCTGACACAACTAATTGTGAACCATCTTCACTAAAAACACCTGCTGGATGCCTGAAATTGTTCAATGTTTCTACCACCATCCTGACTGCCCCAGGATCCTGACCACTCCGGATTCCAGTGCTGTGCAGTTGAAGCCTTCTAGAAACAAAGAGCTGTGTTTGTCATTTCAGAATATTCACGACCTCATCAACCCTGATCCACAACGCTTCAAAGGAAACACAGCAAGAAAACGATACCTACAGGTTTACTACTTCACTTTTGACACCCCCCAACACAAACAACAAAAAACCCATCTCCACAAAGAAACCTGAACTCCATGTACTACTGATTAAAATAAACTATTTTTTATGTGTCACTCATCTGTACCTAAAGACTTCTAAAAATAGTTTAAGTCTTAGTTTAAGAAGATGGTGGGATAGCTACATGATCTGTTTTAAGACTTGTCTGTTAAAGAGTTTTAAAATCTGGGATGCAGATATCCAATTTTATACCACAGACTAAAGCAGAATACAGACATTCTGTCTCCTACCCTAGCCTTAATTTGATTTCACTGTTTGCACATGGATATTTTAATTTATTAAAAACAGGAAAGCCAGGCCTTTAATCAAAGCACTTGGGAGGCAGAGGATAACCGACTGATCTGTCAGTTGGAGGACAGTATGGTGTACATAGAAAGTTCCACGCAAGGGCTACCTATAGAGAACCTCTCTTCAAAGAAAGAAACAGAAACCAAAATCAACTAAACACATCAAAACAAAAACAAAACACCCAAGAAACAACAAGCCAATGGGAAAGAAAAATTCTATCTTCAACCTTCAACCTACTGTAACACATGTATGTTGAAGCACATCCACATTTGAAATGAGAATCAAACAATGAGCCTAATTCTTAAATAACATGAATAAACTTTGTACAAACTGGATCTAATTTCCTAACTATTTGCTATCTAAGGTCTTTGTGTATAATACATCTAGAATTTAACAGATGCCCTCCTGAACATATTAACTGCAATTTTTATTTTCCTGCATTCATATTATGTATTCTCTTAATTCTCAAGCTTCAATGTATAACAACTTTGTTATGCAGTCAAGTTTATAAAAGCACAACCTATTATTTTGCTGTAAAACTCCTGCCACAAACTCAAAATATCCACAAGAGGAAATAGCTCTAAAGATGCTAGTGACTTGCTCAAGGTCATTCAGCCAATGGGCAGTACAAACTCAGAAATCAAATATTCAGCCTGAACATCAAGTTCAAGCTTTTCTCCACTATATAATTTGCCTTCCATTAGTAACACAAACTTCAGGTGATCCAAATCTATGTTTTTGATATTTTAAATGATTCTGTATATTTGGGCTATTTCTTTAATTGAAAGAAACAAATACATTTCAAGAGCTTAACAGGATTTTGTAGGGAAAAAGGTTATGGAAAATGGATGAAAAAGTAACTAGAGAGGGAAAAGGATCTGAAAAGAACAAATAGTTACAATTTTATAATAAATTAAATTTCTCACCTCCCTTTTAAATGTCATTTTATTTGGAAGACATTAAACAAGGTCAGAGTTCAGTTCATTCATACTCAAAACTGCATGCCTCATAGGATAAATAGAAAAATGAATTAAAAAACACGTTGTCACAGAACATCTGCAAATCATGTACACAAGTTTAATTAATGGTGCTAATCACTGTTTCCTTCCTCAGCAAGGTCCTTCAAGACAAGGCCAGATCTAGCTTTTTACTGCCTAGGATTAACAGCACTAGCCCCAGTTACTTTTCAAACCAAGACTGCAAAACTGAAATGTGTTGGAATTCTTCTGATTTGCAGGCCACCAAATAAGTGAAAATTTGCAATAAAAATTAATTTTAAGAGTCTAATAAACTCGTATAATCTTAAATACATGAACGAGGGTAAAAGGTAAAGATTACTGTAACTATTGATAGTGCTAGATGAGAAGGGACATTAAAGACTGGTTCTTCCTCTTCACAAGGAATACTGTGATTAAAAAAAAAAAACACAACACAACACAACAAAACATGGAAGCAATCACATCATCCAAGATCAACTGTTTCCACAATTATATTGTAGGATTCAAAGGTCCATTAGTACGTCCTACCTAGTAAAATACTATTCTAGGTATAATTTAACTTGATTCAGATGTACTTAACTCTTAAGTGGTAGCTTTATGGAGAATGATACAAAACCATAAAACTTTACAAAACTGACACAAAACACCATTACAAAGTACCCCTGCCTCTGTTAGGCTACCACTGCTCAAAACAGCAAGTTGAATTCAGTATTTTAATGTGTAAGACACTGTGTGAAATGGTTCCACAACGTATTTAAGACACACAAACTCAGGTCATAGAGGTTATTCCCCGTGTAACTGCAGATGAAGAAACGGAGGGACACATAGTTTCAATAATTTGCCTAAGGAATTTATGTTCAATTGAGATTATTTACATATTTCCAAATTTGTGACATTAAAGAGTTAAAGATTTTAAGCATGAACACTCAGCAGTTACCAGTCTCGATTCAGCTTAAAATTTTGTAACAGGACTTTTATTCTCCACAGAACTACAGTACTAAGTTTTCTTAACTTAAAGAAGTTTAAATCACATTCAAAACCGAAAAGACTCGGATAGCATAATGCCACACACGTGGATTTTTACTCCTGAGGCTTCTTCTGTAACTATTGTAAGTCACAGAGGTAATTCTGGAACAAGCCTGATTTTAAACCTTAAAAGATTTCCTAGGTAAACCAAACCTTGCACTGTCTCTAGTAGGAGCTCGCAGGTTATCTGAAACCGAAATCCCGGCTCTTAGATTTCCTGACTCTTTTCTCACTTGTAAATCCAATGTCACAAAATTCTCTACAGTGAATAGCTAATCTGATTACAACGTGTAACTTATAAACTCTTGTACTTAATTATTTTTTAAGCATTACTCTAATGAGCAATTTAAAATATTTATGCTCCTGGCCATCTGTTAAGGTCCTGTAATTAGTTCAAAGTAGTAATTCAGGTCAATCTAATTTTAAGAACGAGTACCCACGTTAAAATACACGCACAAAGAAAAAGTTCAGATGCTGCTAAAAAGAACTACACTTCTGGTTTAGCTGTGTAAAACACAACTGGCGCAGTCACGTTTCCACCCTGACGGCAGAAGCAAGCGAACGTGACCACTTCGGAGGGCGAGAAAGGCCCCCTTGTGAATGGCTCGCGGGCCAGGGAACCTCAACAGGCAAAGCCACCCCGGGACTACTGTTCTGCGGTCGACTCCTCCCGGGGACGTGATGTAACCCTGGGAGCGAGAGGCTGACAAAGGGGCGCAGGAGCCGGGGCGGCGGGCCGAGCAGGCGGGGGGCAGAGGGTGCGTGGGCCGGTGGCCCCCGACTGCGGGGGCAGCGGGCGCCGGGGCGGCCGGCGGCGTGACATCTGGCGTGCCGGGCCGGCAGGGGGCAGAGCAAGCGGGGCGTCACGTGGAGCGGGCGCTACGGGAGCCGGGAGGGGAGTGCGAGGGCTGGAGGGGGGTCTTCCCCAACGCCTCAAAGACGGTTACTCACTGGAGTCGCGGACTCTTCTTGCCCTGAGCAGGAGACGGGGGCTTCGCGGCCGCGGGCTGCTGCCCGAGGGCGTCGGGGGGCCTGTTGCTGGGGCTGCTCCTGCGCCGGCGGGGGTACTCGGCCTTCCTCCGGCGGGACACAGCGGCGGCGGCGGCCGCAGCGGCCCGGCCTCGGTCCCGACCTCCCCTCAGCACGCGGCTGCTCGCGGTCCCCGCAGGCGCCGCCGCCGCCGCCGCCGCCGCCGCCGCCACGCCGGGCCGGGGCTCGTCCGAAGCCGCGTCGGCAGCCGCTGACTGGCCCCCTTCCTGGTCCTGCTGCTCCGGGGATCGCGGCTCCTCCGTCTCCCCCGGCATCGGGGCTCGTCCGTCCCCCACCCCTGCGTCCCAGGCGGTGGAGGCGGCGGCGCCCGCGGCGCGGCTCCCCCCGCCCCCCTCGGCTCCCGGAGCGTCCGGCTCCCTCACTCCGGAGCGCCTCTCTTCCCCCCCCGCCCCTCCGCCCGCTCCGAGCGCGGCCCCCCCCGCTCCCTGCCACTCAAGCCCGCGACGGCCGGAGGCGCGCACGCGCGCGCCCGTACGGACGCGCAGCGGGCCAATCGGGGGCGAGGGCCGGCTCCCTGGCCCCGCCCCTCGCGGCCTCACACGCAGCCGCGCGCCCAGAGCCCGCCCCCGCCCCGCCCGTCAACCAATCAGGAAACGGCTCCGAGGGAGAGCGCGAGGTTTCCTTCCCCGCGCACCCGTTCTCACCGTTAAACGGCTGCGTCTCGCGACAATCCCAAAGTGACCTTCCCCCCCCCCCCCCCCCCGCTTCAGGAGTTCAGCTCAAGCTAGGGGCGGTGGGCGGGACGGGACGGGCTAGCCCGGCGAGAGGGACAAAACACACCTTTCCCAGCCTCGCGCGAACCCCCCGCCGGCTGCGCGCGCACCTGCCTCCCCAAGGCGCCGCGGCTCCCTCAAGGGGTCTGACTGGCCTAAGAAGTGGCCTGGACGGTATCCCGCCTCCACCCGGAACCCCACCTTCCTGCTCTGTCCTTCCTGTCCCTAGCACCGCCAACTCTCGAGGGGAGAAGGGGTAAATTGTTGGGGCTGCTACGTCTCCTTTAAGAAAAAAAAAAAAAAAAAGCCCCGTCCGTTGCCGGATGAAAGTCTCCGAAAAAATGGCGGCGACAGGCTAGAGGCGGGGCTGAGGGGACGGCGCGGGGCGCTCCTGAGGCGCATGCGCGGGGCCAGCCTAGCCAAGGGCATCCTGGGAGACAAAGTCCTCCTTTAGTCTGTGTTTCCAGGGTAAAGACGGGAAACTAGGGGCCGAGGGAAGCCTGGGAGTTTTTTTTTTTTTTTTTTTTTTTTTTTTTTCTGACTGATTGACCACGGGAAATGTAGTTTTCTAGCCACTGGCCGAGTTTACGTTCCAGACAGGCATCGCTTCCGGGTTAGGCCGCGACGCCTGCGTACAACTGGCACAGCTATTGAGCCAATTCCTGGTTAGGGTTGGCCGGGACCGTATCCTACGTCTTTACACTGTCAATCTTGGCGTTTGTCTAGGCGCTTCGAAGCGCCTCGTCACAGTCCTCCCTTACTTTGGCTGGGTCCCCGGACGCCTCCTCTGCGACCTGCTAGCCACGTTCGTTTTCATTCCTCCATCTTGCGTTGAGCCTCCCATTGGTGGAGCCCTGGAGGTCAGGGGCTCGGTCGGCCTCTGTCAGTGCAATTTTAATAAAACACGCAGGACGGATTGTAAAGTTGTTTCCCAGGAGGAACGGGACATCACGGGACTGACGCTGCCCGAGGTCCCCGAGCTGGAGCTGGAGAGAGGGTTAGCGTGACTCGCCGTGACTTGGGGGGGAGGCTAGCGCGCTCGCACGTTCTCCGCCCCGAGGCTGCGTGCCTTTGCGGTTTGTAGACGCTTCTGCAGCACGGGAAGCACAGTCAGAATAGCAGCCCTGAGGAGCGTGTGCGGCTCAGTACCTTCCTGATGAGTAAAGGGGGATTTCCATTTGTTGAAGCAGAAGCTGGAGGAAATGCAGACGCTTGTGTTCCTTTCCCTCTCGTACATTGTAGGCATTTCTTTCCCTTTTATGCATTGTTTGCATTACTTGGTTTCCCTTTTACACTTTGTAATCAGGGAACAACTTGCAAGCGAAGAAGATGTAAATATCTTCAGTTAAAATCTACACAAAAGGATGGATAGTTACAAAGTTTGGAAATCTAGTTCTGAATTTTACATTAGTCATTACATTGTAGACCTGCAGTGAAGTACTTCTTTTTTTTTTTTTTTCCCCAGCATCTGGCTTATTTGCCACATAGATAAGGCAAATGCTTTATAGTCTGTATTAAATGTTTTGCTCTTTCAAAGGACTAATGTCATTTTCAGTTGTAAAACCTGACAGTGTTAGTAGAAACCTTTTTTTTTTTTTTTCCGGCTGTATTGTATTTACAGTGAGCGGATTTGGAACAGCACTGACATCCAATGGCTGCTTGAAGTAATACAAAAAGCCACCCTCTTAAAAGGGTCTTAGTAAAACGAAAGACTTTTTTAAAAAGATGATCACTGCACTGTAGACTAAAGACCACATACTGAAGTAAAATCCCGATTATGTATTAAATAGCAAAGCTACGTCTTTATTCTGTTCTTAGCCAGTTACTGTTCCCTGTTTCTCTATTGGTAAACACCAGGACAAAACCTACCTCACAGGGCCATAATTATAGTTCTTTACACACTGTCTTCTCAAAGTGGTCCTGTTATAAATGGCTTTTTCCTTTTGAGATGAACAAAAGCAAGGTGATAAGATTTCTTTTTTTTTAAAATGACCTCACCTTTTGGAAAAATTGTTTCAAGGCAATGTGAACTGAGCAGGAATTGACATTCAAATTTTGGAAGCTTGGTACTAAGTGTCTTAAATCTTCTGATTGATTTTTCCTTAGATGATTTTCCTGTAGATGTTTGCACTTTGGATAACTGTATAAACCAGTACCAGAGAATTCAAAAGTGAACCCACTTTTATTCAACTTTAAAGAATGTATAGTGGGCTGGTGAGCATGCTCAACAGATAAAGGCATTTTGCTGACAAGTCTGATGAATTTGATCTTGTAGGACCCAGGTTGGAGAGAGACCCAACCCATGCAACTCATGAGTGACCCCCCCCCACACACACAGGAGAGAGAGACAAAGAGACAGATTTTTTAAAAGACTTTTTTTTTTTTTTTTTTAAATAACTCTTTGGGAAATCAGGCCAGCTTGATTTCTGAGTAAATAGATATAGAGATAGTGAAATGAAGTTGGTGCTATTTAATCAGAAAATTTAAGAAAGGGGCCTATGCTTTCATGATTCTAGTTTAACAGGGGGAAAAAGCTAGCAGTGGGCAGTGGGATACTTAAACTTGGAAAACCCCACAAGTATAAACCTGAAATTCAAGATAAGCCCTTGTATGTGGTAGGAGTTTAATCTTTGAAAAGTCAACTTTCAGTCTTTAGAGCCACACTGGCCAATGTATCATCAAACCCTCAACCTTTCACAACCTGCCTTTTTCTGTCAGCACTATTTTAAAAACTGAGCTACTAGAAGAGAAAAAAAAATTAACAAATCAAAAGGGAGGAAGTGCTAAGCAAATACAGGAACCAAAAAGGGTCACGGAGGCCACTTTGCGCTGTCTCCTTTAGTTCCGTTGTGGTCCCCGTCTTCACCACATGCCAAAGCATCTCTTCACAATCTTCAAGACCAGAACATCGTGGGTATAGGACAATGGAAGAGCTGGGTGAGTGGGGGCTTTTGGAGAAGATGCTCTAAGGAAATGTGGACTTGGCCACCATCATCGCCATGTGTAATGATGAGCTGTGCTCTAGCAAGCTGAGGATAGTGCTGAACGTTTGTTTTCACTTCTGTCCTCAGGTGAATCAGGAGTGATTCAGGAGGAACTGTAATTGTTGGGAGAACTATCCAGTCGCTGTGTGCAGAGGCACAGTAGATAGAGAGCTGAGTGCTAGCCACAGGGCAGACACCCAGAGAAGCGCTTTTAGAAGGACTTGTAATTGAAAATGTTTTCCCCCTTGGCCGATACTGGAGATCATAGGGTGGCTCCCAGCTAGGTGATTGTGGAGATACAATGCTGAAGGGAAAAAACAAAACAAAACAAAAAAACAACAACAACGGAAAGGAAATGAAGGAAGGGAGGAGGGAGGGAAGAAAGAAAAAGGAAAAGAAAGAAAATCATGAGGGAGAGTATAGGGGAAGGACAGGGAAATAGCAGTTCTAGTAAAGGGCCTGCAGAGGTTGCAGAAAGGCCTGAGTGGTTTCATTTCTCTACAGTTTACTTATCAAACTACAGCTGTACCATTAACGTAGTGGTTCTTGTTGCTTTTGGTTTAGAGAAATCTGGAAGGGGCAGATTACTTGGCCAAAAATATGGTCCTTCCTTTCACTCTGAGGTAATGAAAACAGCAGTGGATGTGTCAAGGGCTGCCATGCACAGATCACAGATTTTCAAAGTTTGGAGCTGTAAAGTCTGTCTCCTTGGGACTCATTTCATACACCTTGGCAGCTTTTATCTATCTATCTATCTATCTATCTATCTATCTATCTATCTATCTACCTACTTATCATCTATTTATTTTTGTCATTCTTAACACCAAGATACTTTCACCCAGGTTTCAAGCAGTATTAATTTCACATTATGTGTCTGTACCTGTGCAAAAACTGCCAGCAGTAACAAAATGCGTAGCTTATACATCATCATAAAAAAGAATTATTGGGGTTCTATTTTAATGCTGGAGAAACAGAAAGGAAATAGGGGAGAGAAATTAATGCAGAAAAAGATGTTCTTAATAAATGCCAAACTGTTTTGTCAGTAAAATGTATTTTGATACTGTGATTAATGCTGTATTTTGGACTTTGATGTAGATCCAGATTCTTTTTGTATATAATGATGGTTATTTATTCTTTGAGATTTTTTTTTCTTTGAGAATTTGATGCATGCATATTCTGTGTGGATACTGAGGAAATTTGCATTTCTCCAATTTTTTTTTTCAGATAAAATCTTGCTTTTTTTGTAATTCAAATTCAGTTCAGAAAGTTAAAAGGGCAATCAATACTGGGAAAACTTAAAATATGTTAGTTTACTGTTTGTACTATTCTTCTGAAATAAGTTGTTATTCTTTTTCTTTAAATAAGGAAAAACAGAATGAGCAACTAAATAACAGGGTCACAGGTTGTTCCCCTGTGTCAGGCCTGTGTTTGCTCTGGTGGCCGTGGAGTGATACAATTACAAAATAGACTTCTACATTTTCTGAGTAGGATTGTTGTTAGGTCAATATTGTTCATAAGTGTAACAAGTATGCAGCTTTGGAAGCTACCTGTAGATTTTCCAGTTGGCCCCAAGTCAATGGACTCTTATTAGCTACATAACAACAGTCTCTTCAGATTGTCTTCATTTGTATGCAATGTGCTGTTGCCTTCCTGCAATGCCAATGCTCTGATGGTGGAGGCCCAACGATCAGAAGCTCAAGACTATTTTGGCTACATAGAAAATTTGAGACCAGCCCAGGCTATATAAGATCCTATCTCAAAAAAACCAGACATGGAAAACGGAAACATCTCTGTGAATTTGAGGCCAGCCTGCTTTACATAGCAAGTTCTAGGCCAGCTGGGGCTGTATAGTGAGAATCTGTCTCAAAAAACAAAATGTATCAAAAGGCAGGAATTATCTGCCAGACACAATAGTTTACACCCAGGATCCCAGCACTTGAGAGGCTTTGTTGGATGACTGCCCAGAGTTTAAGGCCAGCCTGGGCTACCCTGCTAGTTCCAAATCATTTTGGGCTAGAGTGAAGCCCCGCCTTAACAAACAGCAACAGAAACAAAATCCAACCTCAAGACTTGGGTGGACTTTTCTTTCTACTTGGGTAGACAGTTCATCAAAGACAGGTTGGCTCAAGTGGGCAAGTATTTCCCTCTCTGCAGTACTGCCTTGGATGTGAGTAGCATGTGTTCACCTAAAAGGTTTTACTTAAATCTTCACAATTTAGGGATGAGATCATTATATAATGAGATCATTGTATTATAGGGAGGAGATCCCTGAGAAACTTGTGTTCTTGATGTGTTAAGGTTGATATTTAATTTCCGAGGGCCAAGGACTAAGGAGACAAACTGCAGTTTTCCCTCTAGTTTCACTCACCCCCAGTAATCTTGTATTTGTCACACCACAGTTAGTTGCCCAGTTTAAATTATAGACTCTGCATGAAGTAAAAGGAGTAGCTTCAGGGTATTGGTGAAATGTATGCTCATTGGAAACAGGAAGTGAAAGTCTTGGTAATTTATGAACAGAAGGAAGAATTTTAATAGATTTGGTGAGGTGATGCTTCTAAGAATAACTTCATACCCTTGGCTGAATGATGCTCCTGTCCCACAATATTTACTCTAAATGAATACTATGGATCCAGGGAGGCCTCTGACTTCTGATTGGAGCGAAGTTTAAAATATAGAAAAGAGATTGGCTGTATTTTTAACAGATGTAGAATGAAATGTTCGAATTCTGAAATTTAGAATTGAGTCTGGCTAATAAAATTCTGAGATAAGACGTTTGTTTTGTTGTCGTTTTCTTTACTTAGACAAAAACACGCCTCATTGTGGAGAATTAAAAAATATACACAGAGAAAACAGTTTAATGAAATCTGATCGCACCCTTCTGATCAGCTTCAATAATCATCAGCTTTTGACAGTTTTCTTTCATATGCTCATATGTTCCTTCCATTTATCTGTTGTTTTCAAACAGTTTCACACATTACGTTTTCATCTGTACGTATTTCAGCATCAATCTGTAACAGAAATATGAACATATTTATAAAAAACAACCATACTAAGAGTATTCCACCCACAATAACTAATAACCTTAATGGTGGTTCCTCAGGATCATGAAATAATATTATCACACCTAAAATTAACTGATGTCACTTTAATGTTAATATTTTCAGATTTGTAAAGTGCTAATATTTACTATTATTGACTATATAGTGTTAAATATTCTTAAATTTATTTTTACTTTTTAGTATCTGCCTACTTATATATATCAAACTCATATTGAACACTGAATTCTGAATTGCCAAAAAGGATTTATTTTTGCACTTACCTTTAAGTTTTTGATCACAAGTTCAGCAAAATCTTGTACAAATACTATCAGTACTCTTGGCTGCTTTGTTTATTTAAATAAAAGTTAATGATCTAAATTGAAATTAGTTATATGTATCTTAGGTTTCTTTTAATATCTGTACTCTTCTGCCCTTTTTTTCTTCTTGCCGTTTTATTTCTTGAAGGACAGTTTGGCCTACAGAGATTAGTTCAGTTTGGTTATTTTTAAAATGGTTTATGAAGGTCAAAATTTTGTGATATGGATAATTGAGAAAGTTCTACGGAAGATCTCCTTTGTGAACACAAAATGATTAGATGGTCCCTTATAATACTGAGAAATACTGATCCTTAATCAGGGGATGTGACAGTGGCACAACGTGCCTTGTCTAGTATTTGTACGTTCCCAGATTCAGCATTGTAAAGAGGGAAGGCAGGACGGCAGTTTTGAGTGGCACATGATACCACACCCATAAATCCCAACACTTAGGAAGTGGAGGCAAAAGGATCATGAGTTTTAGGCCATCCTGAGCTACTCGGTAAATTCCAGGCCAGGCTGATCTATGGCAGCCTCTCTTAAAAACTAGACAGTCAAAACCCCATTCTCTTCAAATATGAAATACACGAGCAAGTCTGTTTTTCAACAGCGTGTAAAGTTCATTTTCTTTATTTGAGAGCTTCAGAGCTTGGCAGGTCCTGAGAAATCATACAGTCTAATGCTTTGCAAACTTATACAAACTGTAACACATATTTTTAAAAAAATCCACTGAAGTTGAAAAAAAAGACACTGAAGTATCTTGACTTTTAATTTGAAAAATATTGTTCCATCCAATTGCTTCATTAAGTAGATGAAGAAAGACCTTCAGAGAACATGCTGTGCTTAAGATGACTCAGACAATCTGGTGATGTACAAGTTTACATTGTTGAGGCTGGGATGAGGTAGCTCTCACTGGAGATTCTGTGCTCAGGAGCCTCTGAGAGCTACGCTTGGCTCTTTCTTGTATATGAAATGAGGACAGTAATGTCCTCTAATGCAAAGTGTTAGGACAATTAAATACAAAATGTACACTCTTCACACACTGTGATTGGCATGATTTAAATGTCATTAATCATTATGATTAAGGTATTAGCAAAATTCTTGTGAAGCCTATTGGCTTTCCCCAAGAAAAGGGCAAAGGAAGTCACAATTATTTGGATTACTACATCTTGCTTAATTGGGTAATACTTTAGTTTCTTTTTTTTTTTTCAATCTCTTTTCCTCTCCACATCTAATCAAACAAACAAACCACCTCCAACAGGAATAGTAAAATAGTTAACAATTTATTTTGTTATGTTATTGGGTTAACCCTTGAGACAGTAGACTGAAAAAAAAATCAGGATTAGCAATGCTTGGTATATTTTGAAAAACTGCAATGAAGTTGCTTCTTTTTTTTAATATGAAGGGTGTGTGTGTGTGTGTGTGTGTGTATGAGAGAGAGAGAGAGAGAGACAGAGACAGAGAGAGAGATTGGAGATAGAGATCTGTCCTATATGGTTAAAAACTAATACCTAGAATGTAACAAACCAAACTGTAGAGAGATTATGAAATTGAATGCAACTATAGGAAATATCAAATGTAATCTCCTCAACCATCTCTTAGAACATGCTGAACTCCTGAAGTGAGATAAGGATGGAGGAAAGTATTTGCAAATTGTTTCTTTCAAAATAAGAGATATTTAAGAAGAAAATACTCTGCGTTATGTTCCTCTTGTTTCCTGTGATGTAGATGCCTTATTGGAGGAACTGGAACGCTCCACCCTCCAGGACAGTGATGAATACTCAGAACCATTTTCTTGCTCCCTGGATCAGCAATCTACACACGAGAGCAAGCTTTCCAAAACTCCAAAGACCTTATCATCTCAGGGTAACACAAGTCCCTTGAAGGTAACATTTAATCTATGGTAGTATTATAGACAATCAATGTAATTTCTGAAATTACCCATGTGAAATTATATTTAAGAAAAAAATATATATATATTCAAGAAAGAAAGAATGTTCAATATTCATTTCAAGATTAGTTTAAAGATTGTTGCTTTTGAAAATGGGAGAACTGAGGAAATGACCATAGAGTATGCCTTTGAAAGTTCTTCTTTCTCTAGTTAAGGCACAACTGTAGATTATTGCCTGGTTCATGTTGGCTACTGTGATGTTACTTCCTGTTTACCAGAAGGACTGGAGTCCCACTCAGTAAGATGGGGTCCACCTGATAATTTAGGCAAGTCTTCTTGGGTGACCTGTACAGCTGTTTCTTTGTCAGTCTTATTTTCTGCTGAATACATTCAGAAATTGTTTTCCTCTAGCTAGATATGGTAAAGCTCTTGGCAGCTACCACAAAGAAACAAAATCTACCAGAGATGATTTATTTGAAAACCCAGAAACCTGAGGTGTTAATTTATGATTAACTGTTAAAACTGTTAAATATATGTTTGCTGAGATGTGTAGTTTCTTCCTTTGGATAACTATGCACAAACCATTATTATAATTAAAGCTTGCTTGATGAGAATGCAATTAATATTCAAGGCATTGAGTGGATGTCCTTCATATCTTATATTTATGAGCTATGGTGTTCTGATTCATTATTAGGTACTTTATAGAATGAGTATCCCAGGCCTGGAATTTGATTGCAGGAATAGCTAGTTTCCAACCTCTCCCCAGATTGCTTATCTGATTCTCTGCTAGAAAGTGATGTTTGTTGAAACTATTAGACTACAGTCATGGCATCCTACCGGTCTCCTGCACAGACACCTGCACTTTCTACCACACAGCAGTTCCAGAGAGCCTTGACGTAAGATAGCTTGACATTCTTCTGCCCTGACTCTTACAGTGACTTACCACCTCGTTTGCAGTGAAAGCCACAGTGTTGGCCCTGATCTTTGTGGATGACCACATCTTTGTTTACCTGAAAGAGACCTGAGCTTTTGCTTCTTTTTCTGACGCCTCATTTGATTTTCTGTCATGAAATACTTTTTTCGGATTTTTTGAAGTTTTATCGTTAGTATTTGCACTCGTATATTATTTTGATGACTAACTCCAAAAGTGACTAATAACGACACTTCATGATCTTGTTCAGACAAAACCTCAGTAACAGCGCCCTTTCATGGCAGTATTCTGTGAGATGGCTATGAAGTCTAGATATAAGCTGACTCCTCTGTTCTTAGACGGTAGCAGGCATGCTGGCCACATGGCATGCTGCCATGCTGTGGTCCGTGTGATATATATGTGGAACATCAAGAGTAAGTAAGAAATAGGAAATCACACTTAATGTCATACAGATGATGTTCAGGGAACAGAATTTAGTATTCTTTTCATCACAAGTTCCATACCATGAATGTTATTAAAGCATTTTTATTTGCATTTGTAAATTTCTAAGTGTTTGCTTTATTTTTTGCTAGCACTTAAGAAATCTCAGTAATAATCTTCTGCCAGTTGGCTCAAAGCAAAAAGGAAACCAAATCTTCAGGTTTTGTTTTCTCAAAGCAGTTATGGTGAATGTGTAATTTTCCTTTGATGTTTTCCAGTCACCAGTGGGAACAGAGAGATATCACTGTCCTCTTGAATATCAAGAGAAAGGTGAAGAACTACTATGTACTTAAAGATTTCATGCTTAATTTCAGAAGCATGTTCCTGGAGATGACAGCTCTTGCACAGCTGCAGGAAGTGTATCTGCAGATTATGAAATACACATTTCCACTTCGAGAAAACCACTCGTAAACATTTTTTTTTTTTGCTTATTTTCAATTCCATATTTTCTTCTGCCTATAAGTAAGGTGGAAAGAGCAGATTCTCCTTGAAAACCATCAAATAATGTCAGTCTTAAGTCAACTGTCTTAAGAGGTCTCAATTGAAAAATTAGAACATTCAGAAAGACCACTCCAAGTTCTTTCTTTCTTTCTTTCTTTCTTTCTTTCTTTCTTTCTTTCTTTCTTTCTTTCTTTCTTTCTTTCTTTCTTTCTTTTCTTTCTTTTCTTTCTTTCTTTCTTTCTTTCTTTCTTTCTTTCTACCCAATGCATAGCATCAAAATAAAAACCTCTGGAAGTTCATTTTTCTGTTAAAAGAAATAAAACAAGGTTACTAATGTCAGTACAGCGAGTTGGAAAATTTTAACATTGAGGATAGCAAAATGTTGTGATAAGAACAAGAAAACAAATTGTTGGTAGCATCACGGTAAAGTGTTGCTACCAGCTTAAACCCGACAGAGCAGAGCTGCATGTGGAGCCGGTGTGGAGCCGGTGTGGAGCGCGCAGAACCCTTGGCTTCATCTGAACAAGCAGCAGCGTTCTACCCATCAAAACTAGAATTCTCAAGACTGGCAAATGTTATGCCAGTCATATTTTTGTTTGTTTTCTCTAGAAGGAACATGGAGCACAAAGTAACATCTAAGCACGGCTGCATTCATTTTCTCTACGTGTTGGCTGAAATCCTCTAGGTTTTGTAAATTCCGCACCCTCTGAAAAACTCATTTCATACGGCTTAGTTTGTATGTTTGCAAAATTAGCTGGAAATCTGTAATCAAATTATTCAGTCGATATCGAGTGAAAAAGTGTTTCTTAGCAAACTGCAGCTATATACAATTGAGTTTACCAAAAGAAGGCAACTCCAGTTTTTCCCAGCAAAAAACAAGAGTTTAGAGATCATGTAGCTAAATTGCTTAATTTAAAAATGGGCTTCTGAAAATCTTGACTTTGATGGATTTTGATCTTATTTTGTTGGATACATTTAGAAGCCAAAATTCAATGGAATTATGGAAGTCTGATTTTGCTCTTGCCCATCCTTTAGAAAATATGTTAAAAAGAACCAGAAACAGAAACAACTTCAAAGTTCGTATTTATTAGACTATTAATGAAGAAAGATGTGAATAGAGGTGGATAGAGATGACACATGGGAATATTGTCTTAGACAAAGTAGAAGGTGGACAATAAATATGGAGGGATAAAAGGGGAGGCCAAGAATACAAGAGAGTTAATGGAATGAAAAAGTATTGCATTTTATGTCCTAGAGCTTTAATACATTGTATAAATTATATAAAAACAAAAAATAGAGTTGTGGTGGGGAATGAACCAGAACGAGGAGGTAGGGGAGACAAGGAGGGTGATGGGAAGGCAAATACAAGTAAAACACATTAATATACATGTATGAAAATGTCCTACTGAAGCCTATTATTTTGTGCACTAAGAAAATTAATCAAAAGAATATATTTTCCTGAATGTGTTTATACATTTTAATAGAGAAAACAGAATTGAGAATGTCTTTCACAGAGCGAAATGGGCTTGAAAAATTGAGGTTCATCAGTATTACACCATATCTCTACTAAAAGATGTATGCTCCAGAGAAAAGCACAAGTTAAAGATAACAATTTCAAATCTACTAAACAGGAAGTGCAGCTTTAGAGAACATTGCAAATTCAAAAAAATGATAGCGATTTATCTATTTTTTTCAAAATAAACATTTTAAAGGAAAGTTCCAAAATCAAACTGTTAGAGGTAACAATGACCAAGTTACCAATAAAGGTATGTGTCTATGTCAAGAGTAATTGTTTTCTTATGCTATTTAAGTGATCAAAAACCACTTAAGAAGCTTTCCATCATGTAAATAGCTATGTGCTGTTTTAAATTATTTTGGGAAAGTTTGTGCAGAAAATAAGTCTCTTCAGGAATGGCGGCTTGCATCTGTTAACTTCAAGGCCAGGTTCAACTATATAGGAAGCTTGATGCTAGCCTGGACTACGTGAGACTCTGCCTCAAAAAAATTTAAAAAATAAAGAAAAGAGGTTTTGATCACAATTCTCATTGTTGCTGTTGTGATTATTTTGAGACAGTTGCTCAGGCTGACCTCACACTTGTGGTCTTGCCTCAGTTTCATGCGCTGAAGATAAAGGCATGAGAGTACAAGCCACCACACGCTGCCCTTGACTGAAATTATTTTATAGGTCCACCAAAACCCACAAGCAAGTGATTTGGCTAGTTCTGTGTCCTTCATTGGGGAACTGAGGTACATGTGCCTGTCATCTCAGTACCAGTGAAGGAGAGACAGGAGCTTGAGTGCTTGAGTTCCAGAATAGCTTATAGAGCCAGCCTCCTCCCCAGACTTAAGTTTAGAGATTACACCACTCGAATTCATCCTGGAGCTCACCCCTTTCCCCTCCTAAGTACCTCAGGTTGAGCTGCATAGTGCCTGATGACCCCGCGCATCCAGTTCATTCCCCTCAGCAGCACTCAGGCCACACCACCTCCCTGTTCTCCAGCCATCATTCCCTTTCATTCCGTGCACATGGATCACGTTGCCCTGATCCCTGCTTGCTTTTCCCACCTCATGCGAGTCATTGTTCAAGTGACTTTTACTCGGTGAAATTTCCCACATCAATGCATTTATAACTGCTACTGTGTCCATACTTCTTATTTTCTACCTCTTTGATTAACTTTTATATCTGCTTCCTGCCAATAGAAAGTAAGGGCTGGAGTATTCCGTTTTTGTTCTCTTAAGGTATGTCTCAAGTAACCTAGGCTGACTTCGAGCTCACTGTGAGGGAGGATGAGTTTGCATTCCTAACCCTGCGTCCAGCTCCCAAGTGCTGGGATAACAGGAGTACCACACCAGGTTTATGTGGTACTAGGATTGGAACCTAGGGCCTTACGGATGCTATGCATGTACTTCACCAACTGGGCTGCACCCTCATTTCCCAGAGTATTTGGTTTTAATGTGATTGTTTTATTTTGTGGTTTGGGCATGACATCATAAGTCCTGGAACTTAACAGTCACTCTGTAAGTATGTGTTCAGTGAATAAACAGATGAATTGCTGTCCGGCCACATATTGGATTGATGCATTATTATTTCTCATAAGGCACATTTGTGAGATAGCCTTCTCCCAGGCATCACTGTGTCTTTTCCCTGAGCCACACCGTGTTTGATGTTTCCTGTCTGAGGATGTCTATGTTTCCTATCTCTTCATGTTTGTTTTTAAGGCAGGGAGGGTAGTAATTGTTCAGGTGCCAACTTCTCTGTTTGGAATTTGTTGTTTTCTCTCATGATGGAAGGTGACTTTGCCTTTGAAAACATTTAAGCAATATGCTAGTTATTACTTTTCTTGATTATTATTATTGTTATTGCTACCTTTCAGACAAGGTCTCACTGTGCTGCCGAGACTAACCTCATACCCATGTTTCTTTTTCTCATCCTCCCAAGTAGCTTAGACTGCAAGCGTGTCCACATTCTGGTTCTCCCCCTTGGAAGCTAAAAACCTTCTTGCTGATAAGCACCAGCCTTCTAATACAGATGTCATACTTTGCTTTTTTCTGTCACTTATGTCCTAGGTGCAGCTCATGTGTACAACCAATGTCCAGGAGCCCAATGTCTACAGGTACGCTTTGGTTCTTAATAAATAATTTTAAAATTAAAAGTTATCTGGTAGTTTATTACCCAAATTGGCAATAATTTGGTTTGTAAAGATTATTATTGGATTTCCTCCATAGTATGCCTTTTCCCAGAGCCTTTGAGCAGAGGCAGAATCCTTTCACACTGATTTGGCGGCCTCTCAAGGTACCTGGCATCCTGACAGTGTCCAGGCTGGAGAAGGGGTGTGTGTTGGTGTCTCTGCATTTTCTTTACCATCTAAAAAGGATAAAAATTTCAGAGTCAGCACACATGTTTTGTCACTTTAGTTCCAGTTATCATGTGGTAGTGTGCAAAGGAGAAAACAGGCCTAAAGAAACTTAAGCCAGGGTCCAACAATGTCAGTGTGAGGACCAGGGCTACATGAAGATGGCAAGGATTAATTATAGACAAATGAGTGTGTACTTCTACTTTCCAGGTCTGCTCAAAGTTTATTTAAGCAGTGGAAGGTTTCTTTTTATTTAAAGTTACACATGAAATAGATTCCCAGTCTCATCCTCTCTCCTTCCCCTTCCCCCTTTCCTTACAAAAGGGGAACTCTCTTTATCCATCCCAGTTCATCAAGTTGCATCAGGACTGAGCATGTCTTCTTCCCCTGTGGCCTGGCAAGGCAGTCCTGTCAGGGGAAAGTGACTGAAAAGCTGGCAAGTGAGTCCAATGCAGTCCCCACTTCCCTTACTAGAGGACCCACATGAGGCCTAAGCTGCCCATCTGCTACGTCTTTGTAGGGGGCCTAGGTCCAGTTCCTGCATGGTCCTTGGTTGGTGCTTCATTCTCAGCAAGCCCTTCTAGGCCCTGGTCAGTTGGCTCTGTTGGTCTTTTTGTGGAGTTCCTGTAACCTACGGGTCCTTTTCTCCCACTTTTCCACAAGACTCCCTATGCATCGCCCAATGTTTGGCTGTGAGTCTTGGCGTCTGTCTTGAGACGCTGCTGGGTAGAGCCTCTCAGAGGATTCCCATATCTGTTTTCACCATATGCTCTGGTTTGCATAAATGAGCTGCACATTGCTTTCGGTATACCTTGAGATTGCAATTAGTAGCAACTGTGACTGCAGCACCAGGATATTTCTAAGCATTGTACATCAATAGCAATATGGCAATAGTTTATAAGGATATCTATTACATGAGCAAAAACATCACTTGTGGTAGTGATGGGGAGAAAAAGTTCACAAAATAGAACAGAATTAAAGGAAAACTCAGCATGATGAAGCTCCTTAGTTGGAAAGTATATGTTCTGTGATTCTTTCAAACCCATGTCTTTTAATCTGTATCATTAAAGTCTCTGAATCACAAATAACTTGTGGCTTGTGACATAGTAAGGCACTTTTGCGATCTTTAAAAAGCGAGGGACAGATCAGAGGTCTCTAATTTGAAGTTTATTTCCTTTCGAGAATACTTTCTGCATGGGCCTCTAGTTTGTAACCATCAGCTCTTCAAGTTCTTATTTCCTACTTAGTACATTGCTGAGTCAGCTATTGTTAGAAAATCTCAACAATGGTCTCCCCTTCATATGCTATACCTGGACTCTAGTTTGAAAGAGTGTGGGTGTTTTTTGAACGTGAGCAAGGTTTCTTCAACTGTAAGGTGAGGAGGCTTATGAATAGGCAGGCTTAAATAAAGAGCTACATTTGGTAAAGTGCCTGCCATTCAAGTGCAAGACCTAGAGCTCGAGCCCCAGAAGCCCTGTGGGGACTTTTCCTATTGTTCTGGGGCCTCGAGTCTTAAATTTAACAACAAAAATTACTTTTTGTTGTTGTTGTTGTTGTTTTTATTCTTTAGTCACTAGATGTTATGTGGACAAGAAATGTGTTTAGAGGCCTAAATATAGCCCAAGACAATTTGCAATTAGGCTGTGAACCTGTAACATCCCAATGTCTCCATAATCACTGAAGTTTAAGTCAATTAAACAGCCCTGCAGATTTAGTTAGTGGCATAATGTCCTTTTGAGAACTTTCATTCATATCAATAATAATAAACATTTGCTTTTATCTTTCTTAGACCTGCTTTAAAAATGATCATGTGTCCATTGGTTTGCTTTTTAATTTATGGATGTTTTTAAAAACATTGTGAATATGATTTAACTATAGTAATTTTGTGAAATAGACTTTATTTATATGTTTTCTTTTTTGTTTCATTTCAGAGGTTTTAAACAAACTCTATTTTAAAATTATTTTTATGTGTGGATACTTTTCATGATTTATGTATGTGTAACATCTGCATTCCTGATGCTCATGGAGGTCAGAAGAAGGTATCTGATCACTTGAAACTGTAGTTATAGAGAGGTATAAGTTGCCATGTGAGTCCTGGGAACTAAATCCAGGTCCTCTGCAAGGACAGTATGTGCCCTTAACCACTGAGGCATCTCTCCTGCCTCATCATTTCAGTCTAATTCCCTTGTTTAAAATACCTTCATGGATCTAAGTTTTTAAAAAGTATTCATTTCCTTCTAATATTTTAATTTTTAAAATATTTATATATTCAGTTCCACTCACTTGCTTATCTTTTTGATATGTTGAGGGCTGTAAATTAATTTTGTTCTAGACAGATTGTTACTGAGCCCATTAAATATATTTCTGACACTTTGAAATGCCTAATGCAGTATCCTGGATCTTTACAGGTGTAAGGGCATGCTTCTGGATTTTCTAGTCTACTCTTTTGATCTGTTTATTTATTCTGTTACCATTGCGCATATTTAATATTTGTCATTTGTAAGTGTTGCATAACTGATTGTTTTCAGTTATCTTTATTTTATAAAATGTTACCTCTATCAGGACAAACTTTTTCTTCTGAAAGTTTTTTTCTTTTTGTTATTTTTGACATAGTGTCTATATATCTCTGGCTGGAACTCACAGAGATCTGCCTGCTTCTGGCTCACAGTTGTAAGGAATACAGATGTGTGTCACCATGCTCAGCCTTTTCAACTTTAAAATTTTTTTCTTGGGTGGTCTAGCCCTTAAATTTAATGCACTTTTACTGATAGCTCAAATAATTCTTCTGGGCTTTTTATGGAATTTTATTGAATTGGAGGGGGACAGTGACACATAGTATATATCTCCATTTAATGTGGGTCTTCTCTTTGATTTAGTGTACATATCACTGTTTATTATGTATAAATGTTTACTTTAGTGGCAATTTATTATGATAAAAGTGTCTCATACACAAAGATTGAAACTTTTGCTAGTCTTTATGGCCAAGGTTAATAATATACCTCAAGGTCACTTAAGGCTTAAGATTGCTATCCTGTTTGTCTAACTTGCCTTTAAGAGAACAATGTAACAACCAACCTTTCTTGCCTTGGATTTCCCATGTAATCAACTTTACCTAAACTAATGTATAGCTGTAACCTTAAGTTATGTACTCCTGACCAGAGAGTGATGCTTGCATGTGTTTTATGATAACCATTTTCTGAAAGCAGAACAAAGGCTCATAGCAACCTTATAAAATGAATATCTACTATAAATGTTGAATTAAACATGGATATTGCTTGATAGCATTGGTTTTTTTATATCTGGGTCAGTTTGAGTTATGATTTAATGCCTTGTAAAATTCTATTAAGGATTTCTATAAAACACCCCTCATTCTGACCTCATGCAGTGACTTCTGTGCCATGTAAAGAATATACAGCAGAAGCATTTTGTTCAGAATGATGGAAAACACAGAGAGAGCAAAGTGGAGAATTCAAACCTAGGCTTGCTCCTGGTCAAATGATACCAATGGGAAGTGCTTGATCAATTTCGGTCCTTAGTGCATCACAGATTAGCTACTGGTGACTCTGAGGTTATTATTAATGTGCTGACGCTGATGTAATGAAGCAAATGAAGAAATTGTCACATTTAGTAGTACTCTCAAATGTATACCTTTATAACTACAGCGCCCAATGTGCATATTAGATCTCTAGACACACATCTGCTACTTATGCTCCTCTGACTTACATTTCCTTTTCTTTCCCCTTTATCACTCCTAGATGTCATTCCTTTCTATTTCTAAGTATTTCATCTTTTTACATTCTACATATAAGCATATAGGTACAATCATACAATGTTTTTTTTCTTTAATCTAATTTAACTTTGTACAATGTCCTATAGGCTCATCTATGTAGACTCAAAAATCAAGATCTCTTTCTTCTCTAAGATTGAACTATATTTTAGTGTCTATGTCATTCATTATAGTTTAACTTTGCTAAGTTGTTCGTTCAGCCACAGACAATTGAGTTATTTTCATATCTTGGCTATGTAAATAACATTGTGAGGGACATAGGATCACAGACTTCTTTACTGTGGGTCAATTTCATTTCCTTCACTGCAGAGGGACTACTGGGCCACATGGTAGTTTTATTTTTTGTTTCTTTAGGAGCCTTCATATTGTTTCTCCTTGTGACTACCAACCTGCATACCACTGGCAGTCTACGTTGGTTCAGTTTCTCTACACCTTTGGTAGCATTTGCCTCATGGTGTAATGGGTATGAAGTAGTATCTCATAGTAATATTGGTTTGCATTTTTCTGATAATTGAGGTTGAGCACCTTTTTTGTACACCCGATGACTGCTAGTCACCTTTAGAGGAATGTTTATTCAGGCTTCTTGGTTACCTTTAAAACTTTTCATTGTGTGTAACTTATAGTTTTGATTTTTTATTAAAATGCTTTAATTGGATTTATAGCTCTATTCTGAGGTCTCCGACTCTAGTAATTGGAAGATATGTCCAATACTTTTCTTCATACACTTGAGAACAAATAGGTTATTTATTTATTTATTTATTTATTTATTTATTTATTTATTTATTTATTTATTTAGGTGGCTAAAGAAAGAGATACACAATGTAGAATGGCCTTACTAAAAGATTTAGAGTAGCAGCCGTATTTAAAATATTTCTTGTCTCTTTTTTTTTAGACTCATATCAAATAGGTTAATAGGTAAAATTGCATCCTTTGATATGTTATGTGTGACTTAACATTTATTTGAGTTTTTTTTCTTTTATCTGTAGTGAGGTCCAAGAGCCAAAAGAACCAGTACCACCTTCTAAAACCTCAGCAGCAGCTCAGTTGGATGAGCTCATGGCCCACCTAAGTGAAATGCAGAGCAAGGTGAGTACAGTCTGGATGATGAGGTCTCTTGGTTCCAGAGAGCCACCAGGTTAGCTTGGAACTAGTCAGTTATCATCCCCTGCTTGGGAACTGTAAGGTGGTATTCACTTTCCTAGACTACATTTAATTCAGTGGAGAAACTCATTTGGGCATGAAAGATAACATAATGAAGGCAGCAGGCCTTGATTTGGAGGAGCTTGGAGTGTTTTTTGGTACAGCCAGTCATAAAACTCGCAATATTTTGAGAATTAGAAGGCTTGTGATTTTTCCAAAGTGAGTGGAGCAAAGCCGAGAGATTTTGAAAGCTTGAGCAGATTTTATCAGAGCAGTTGTGATGGGAGTCAGAAAGGACACTAAAGAATAGCTGAGGCCAGGACACATAATGATCAGAGTTGGAGAGAGCCGGGAAGGCAGTCTGCCCCAAAGGTGTGAGGATGCAGAAGGGCTTTTAAAGACACATTCCTTAGCAGGGCAAAAGGGCCAGTGGGCACACTGGGACAGAGCAAGGAGGCCAAAGTAGGAAGGATGAGTTCTAACCCATACTGAGATAAAATCTGCTCTTTGTTCTTGTCTGTAGAGTGAAAATGGCAAACACATGCATCCTGGCAGGAAGCAGAGACCAGATAAACAGTCTTAAGCATTTATCAAGGAAATAGATCTAGAATTCTTTTTTTTTTTTCTTTTTTCTTTTTTTTTTTTTTTTTGAGACAGGATCTCTTTGTGTAGCCTTGGCTATCCGGACTCACTTTGTAGACCACGCTGGCCTCAAACTTAGAGATCCTCCTGTCTCTGCCTCCCTGACTGCTGGGATCACAGGCGTACGCCACCATGCCCTGATTAGATTTCTAAATACAGAGAACCTAACCATTTAAAATCTGATTGGAAGTTAAAATGCATACCAATGAAATCTGTCTGAAATGTTTAAGGCGTACTGTTAAAATGTATGATAGAGGAGGGAAGGCACAAGGCAGGAGATTCCCAATATCCCACTCAGTGCCTAACACACAGTAACACACAATTGTTGCAGGGAAAGATGAATAGTGTCACAGAAAAGGTCCTCTGATACTAATACTCTAATAGGTATGATACTCTAATACTCAACAATTAGCTAATGTCTACACTTACGTTGAAAGAATTGTGCTGCATACTTGATGATGCTAGAAAAACAATCATATTAGGAAATTTATACTGTGTTTTCTCCTTGATTTAAAGTGTATCTTGGTGTGTTTAAATTTTAACTTAAAATATGTGTTTTAAAAATAACACATATACATTGTACAAAATGTACAAAAATATTTACAGCAAACTCTTTCCACATTATTTGTCCTGCATTGTCTCATTCTGCCCCCTGCAGGTCATCAGAAAATACTGCATCTTACATATATGTCTAGAAGTATTTGGGAAAATGCAAGTATTTTGGAATAGATACCTCTCAAAAAAACTAATTCTGTTATATAAAGGGGAGGAAATAATCTGTTTAATAATTAATTTTTAATTAATTAAATTGTTTATTCACTTTACATCCTGTTCACAGCTCCGTTCTTCCTCTCTTCCCAGTCCTATTCTGCCTCCCTCTCCCCCCTATTTCTTCTCCCCTTCTTCCCAGAAAAGAGGATCCCCAACCCCCACCCCTGAACATTGAGTCACATGAGTCACATCAGGACTGAGCACATCCTCTTCCCCTGTGGCCTGGCTAGGCACTCCTGTGAAGGGGAAGTAATCCAAAAGCAGGCAACAGAATCCTTGTCAGAGATAGCCCCGGCTTCCCTTACTAGGGAACCCACACGAAGCCTGAGCTGCCCATTAGCTACACCTTTGTGAAGGCCTAGGTCCAGTCCATGCATAGTCTTTGGTTGGTGCTTCAGTTTCCACATGCTCCTCTGGGCATTGGTTAGTTGGCTCTGTTGGTTTTCTTGTGGGGTTCCTATCCCCTTCAGGTCCTTCCATTCTTTCTCCCAGCATTTCCACAAGATCCCTGGAGCTCGGCCCCATGCTTGGCTGCAAGTCCCAGCATCTGTCTAGATCCTCTGCTGGCTGGAGCTTCTCAGAAGACATAGTCAAGTTAGGCTCCTGTCTGCAAGCATAGCAAAGCATCATTAATAGTGTCAGGGGCTGGCTGTCTACTGTGGGGTGGGTCTCAGGTTGGGCCAGTCATTGGTTGGGCATTCCCTCACTCTCTGATCCCTCTTTATCCCTGTATTTCTTGTAAGCAGGGTGATTTTTGGATCAAAGGTTTGTGGGTGGGTTGTTGTTCCCTCCCCTTCACTGGGAGTCCTGCCTGGCTAGAAGGTGGTCACTTCAGTCTCCACATCTTCCCCTGCTAGGAGCTAGAGTTATACCCATGTCCTCCAAGGGGCTTACCATGTGGAAGGCCCCCAGCTTGACAGAGATGTGCTGTCTGTCTCCCTTCTTGTTCCCCCCCTCTTACCTCCCAACCCCTTTCTCCTCACATCTTATCCCCACTCTTGTTTCCCTCCCTATTCTATCTCCTGCCCAGTTCTCTCTCTTCATCTACTTCCAATGTCTATTCTACTTCCCCCTTAGGGTGACATTCTGGCAGAACTCTCTTGGGCCCTCCTCACTACTTAGCTTCTTTGGGCCTATAGATTTTAGTATGGTTAACTTGTACAATAGGTCTAATATCTGCTTATAAGTAAGTATGTAGCATGTGTGTCTTTCTGGATCTGGGTTACCTCACTCAGGATGATCCTTTCTAGTTCCATCCATTTGTCTGTAAATTTCATGGTTTCCTTGTTTTTAATAGCTGAGTAGTATTCCATTGTGTAAATGTACCACAATTTCCTTATCTATTCTTTAGTTGAGGGAAATCTAGGTTGTTTTCAGTTTCTGGCTATTATAAATAAACCCGCTATGAACATGGCTGAGCAAGTGTCCTTGTCGTGTAGAGGAGCTTCTTTTTGGTATATGCCTGGAAAGAGTATAGCTGGATCTTGAGGTAGAACTATTCCCAATTTTCTGAGAAAGGGCCAACTTGATTTCCAGAGAGATTGTACAAGTTTGCACTCCCACCATCAATGGAGGAGTGTTCTCTTTTCTCCACATCCTCTCTAGCATGTGTTGTCACTTGAGTTTTTGATTTTAGTTATTCTGACTGGTGTAAGATGGAATCTTAGAGTTGTTTTCATTTGCATTTCTTTGATAACTAAGGGCATTGAGCATTTCTTTAAGTGTGTCTTAGCCATTTGAGATTCCTCTGCTGTGAATTCTCAGTTTAGCTCTGTACCCCATTTTTAATTGAATTATTTGAATGTTGGTGTTTAATTTATTAAGTTCTTTGTATATTTTGGATATTAGCCCTCTGTCCGATGTAGGGTTGGTAAAGATCTTTTTCTAATCTGTGGGCTGCCATTTTGTTCTGTTGTCAGTGTTCTTTTATTTATAGAAGCTTTTCAGTTTCATGAGGTCCCATTTACTGATTGTTGATCTCAGAGACCGTGCTGTTGGTGTTCTATTCAGGAAGTTTCTCCTGTACCAATGAATTCTAAACTTTTCCCCGTTTTGTCTTCTAATAGATTTAGAATATGTTTTTATGTAAAGGTCTTTGATCCACTTGGGCTTGAGTTTTGTGCAGGGTGATAAATGTGGATCTACTTGCATTTTTCTACATGCAGACATCCAGTTAGACCAACACCATTTGTTAAGGATACTTTCTTTATTCCATTGTATGGTTTTGGCTTCTTTGTCGAAAATCAAGTGCCTGTAGGAGTGTGGGTTTATTTCTGGGTCTTCAATTTGGTTCTATTGATCAACCTACTGATTTCTATGCCAACACCATGTAGTTTTTGTTACTATTGCTCTGTAGTATAGTTTGAAATCAGGGATGTTGATACTGCCAAAAGTTCCTTTATTGTACAGAATTATTCTTTGCTATCATGGGTCTTTTATTTTTTCATATGAAGTTCATGGTTGCTCTTTCAAGTTCTGTAAAGAATTGTGTTGGAATTTTGATTGGATTTGCACTGAATCTGTAGATGGCTTTTGGTAGGATGGCCATTTTTTATTATGTTAATCCTACAGGATCAGTTTTTCAGAGAGAACTGATTAAAGAGTGGTAGAGTAATGTGAGGCTATTCCAGGCAGTGAAGATTGAATCTCTATATGTCCGAAAGCAGATATTAGCAGAACCATTAAGGAGAATATTGGAAGCCTACCTGCTCCAATAAGAAGGCTTTTCATTGTGAAATAGAAAATGAGATTCAGAAGACAAAACGAGGGCAGCTGCATGCGAAGCTTTTTAAAATTGAATTTTATTTATATCTTTATTTATTACAATGTATTCACTTTGTATCCCTACTGCAGCCCCCTCCCTCCTCTCCTCCCAGCCCCATTCACCCTTTCTCTTCCCCCCTAGGCCCTTTCCCTAGTCCGTTGATAGGGGAGGACCTCATCACCTTCTATCTGACACTAGCTTATCAGGTCTCATCAAGGCTGGCTGCATCATCTTCCTCTGTGGCCTGGCAAGGCTGCACCCCCCAGGGGGAGGTGATCTAAGAGCAGGCCACTGAGTTCATGTCAGAGACAGCCCCTGTACCCTTTATTGGGGAACTCATTTGGGAACTGAGCAGCCAATGGGCTTCCATTGAACAGGGGGTCTAGGTCCTCTCCATGCATGGTTCTTAGTTGGAGTATCAGTCTCTGCAGGGACCCCTGGCCCAGGTATTTTGGCTCTGTTGTTCTCCTTGTGGAGTTCCTGTCCCCTTCAGGCCTTTCTATCTCTCTCTTTTTCCATAAAGATTCTGGCACTCTGCCTGAAGTTTGGCTATGAGTCTCAGTGTCTCCTTCGATACCCTGGTGGGTGGAGTCTTTCAGAGTACAATGGAAAAAAAGATAGCATCTTCAACAAATGGTGAATGTCTTCATGTAGACATTCTGGATATCTACATGTAGAAAAATGCAAATAGACCCATATTTATTGCACTGCACAAAGTTAAAGTCCAAGTGGGTTGCTTTTAATATATGTTTGATGATAAAAAATTTTGATGGGAAGAAATTGGAGAGATACTGTATCTATCCGATCAGTTAAACATTAGGTAGGTAGATGCAGCCCATGATGGAAAGGACATGAAATGGTGAAGGAAAAAGTAGGCTCTCTCTCTCTCGCTCTCTCTGTGTGTGTGTGTGTCTGGATTGAATGATTTATAACAATTAGTTTGGATCTGCATTTGAATAAATCCAATCTATTGAAAATCCCACTACTACCTTCTCTCTTAACTGGTCTTATATATCACACAAACCATTACAAAGTATTCCTGCACGCCTGCTCCCCTTATTCTCAGATTTGCTGCCCTTTGGCCACACTCATGATTTTGGCATATTCAAATCAAAGTTCTGCCATAAAGGACCTGGACAATCTTTGCTTTTCCACACACTCTTCTGTGTGTTCAGTCTTAGTCTGTTTGATCTGGCCCTGTTGATCTTGTAACTTTTCTTCTAATATGCCAAGAGGTTTTATTTCTCTGGCCTTCTCTCTCTTTGGACTGACAGTCTCATGAATGTCAGTATTTCTGAGTTCTTGAGTTCCTGTGTTCAAGTATCACTTGTTCAGAGGCACTTCTTTAATCAGTTTGCACTGACCAGACTCTACCCCATCGCATCTCTCTCTTATATAATGTACAACTTTTCTTTATCCCACATGCAGCATATGTTTATTACCTGCCACTCATGGAATGAAAATTCCATGAGGCTAGAAACTTGATATGTTTTATATACTGCTTCATAACAATTTCCTAGGATACTGACTGGAACAAATTAGGTGCTTGGCAATAAAAAAATGAATAAAAGGAAGAGAGAATTATGTTTTTTTTACCTGGGGCCACTATAAATGCTACTCAGTGCACTCAATTTTATGTCAAACAGAAGATTTACAAATAAATGACAAATGGTCAGATTTCATTTTGCCCAAGGAATTTAGAATGAAATCAGAATAAAAGTGTTTTTATTGGTGTTCATGTTGGGTGTCTCCAGCACCTTGAAAAAAGGTTGGAGAAGACAAGATCAGCCACCAGAGGTGAACTGTTAAGTTGTATAGAAGATGTCAAAAAGAATAGAGGTGCTTGGTTAAAGTCACCCCAAAGTACTTTATGTTATTAGTGGCTATTGTGAAGGGTGTTATTTCCCTAATTTCCTTCTCGGCCCTTTTGGCTTGGGTATAAGTGAAGTATCCCAGGAGCAGAAAGACACACATGGTGTATACTTGGTATATACTCACTTATATAGTAAGATAAACATACTGAAATATGTGCACCTAAAGAAGATAAACAAGGAGAGCAACAGAACCAAAAAATTTGAACACAGGGGTCTTCCCAGAGACTCATACTCCAACCAAGTACCAGGCATGGAGATAACCTAGAACCCCTGCACAGATGTAGCCCGTGGCAGTTTAGTGTCCAAGTAGGTTACATAGTAATGGGAAGAGGGACTACCTCTGACATAATCTGATTGGCCTGCTGTTTGATCACCTCCCCCTGAGGGGGGAACAGCCTTACCAGGCCACAGAAGATGACATTGCAGCCACTCCTGATGAGATCTGATAGATTAAGATCAGAAGGAAGGAGAGGAGGACCTCCCTTATCAGTGGACTTGGGGAGGGGCATGTGTGAAGAAGGGGGGAGGGTGGGGTTGGAAGGGGAGGAGGGAGGGGCTTGTGGGGGGATATAAAGTGAATAAAGTATAATTAATAAAATTAAAAATAAAAATAAAAAGCTCAAAATATGTTATATAAAACATTTAAATTAATAAATTAAATCCATCCCTGGATTAATCTATCAACAACAACAAAAAAAGAAGATAAACAAGAAAGAGGACCCGGAGTAAGATGCTCAATCCTCACTTAGAAAGACAAATGGGGTGGACATGGGAAGTATGAGAAAACAAGTAACAGGACAGGAGCCTACTGCAGAGGGCTTCTGAAATACTCTACCTAGCAGTCTATCAAAGCAGATTCGGAGACTCATAACCAAACCTTCGGCAGAGGGCAGGGAATCATGCGATAAGAGGGGGAGTTAGTATGATCGGGAGAGGACAGGAGCTTCACAAGGACAAAATATATCAGGGCACAGGGGTCTTCTATGAGATTGTTTCTCCAACCAAGGACCATGTATGGATATAACCTAGAACTCCTGCTCGGACATAGCCCATGGTAGCTCAGTATCCAAGTGGGTTTCTCTAATAAGGGGAACAGGAACTATTTCTGACATGAACACAGTGGCTGGCTCCTTTACCTCCCACTCTCCCCCAAGAGAGGAACAGTCTTGCTAGGCCACAGATGAGGACATGGCAGCCAGTCCTGAAGATACCTGATAAGCTAGGATCAGATGGAAGGGGAGGAGGACCTCCTCTAGCAGTGGACTTGGAAAGGGACAGGGAGGAGATGAGGGAGGGAGGGAGGGTGGGACTGGGAGGGAATGAAGGAGGGAGGTATGGCTGGGATACAAAGTAAATAATCTGGGATTGATATAAAAATAAAAATTAACATAAAATCATACAAACACACACACACACACACAAAAGAATAAACGTGCACACAGGCTGATTTGTCTTTGTGGTTCTTTGCTTGTCCCAGGTTTCAGTGGAAGCAGATGCCAGCAGCAAACACTTGCCAGATAAAAAGGATCATAAGACATCCCTGGACTCAATGCTTGGGGGTTTGGAACAAGAACTACAAGATCTTGGGATTGCCACAGTACCCAAGGGTCACTGTGCTTCCTGCAAGAAGCCAATTGCTGGGAAGGTGGGGTGATGCAGCGTGTCTGTGTCTATGTGTGTCCAATGATGTCTCTTTCTCTTTATGCTGTAAGATGTTGTAGCACTTGTTACCAGTCACTGACTGCTTACAGTAATTTGGACACTGAGCTAAGTGCTTTGTAAGTATTTAATAGTTGAATAACCTTTTAAGGAGGTTTTATTATCAGACCTTTTTCAAAAACAAGGAAGTCAAGAGCTCAGAGACACTGGCTGTCTAGTCCGAGGTTTAGTAAGCAAGAAGCAAAGGGGACATTTGAGTCTGTATACCTTCCCAGCTTGAATTCCTGATCCTTTTTGTTCACTTCTGTTACTGAGACGATGTTATTCGCTGCTCCCTTTCTTCAGACATTTCTGCACTGAAATTTACTCACTGCAATCTCAGCTGATTGTAACTTAAAGTTAGATGTACTGAGACTTACTCTGAGTCATTATCATCAAATCCATGGTTCAGGGCTTTCTGTTCTCACTCTGGAAGGATTAGAGGCACGCTACTCAGAGCTGAGGAGTATATCTGCTTGGCTTCTTGATCAGTCAGGATGTCCCTTCCCTTTTACTTACCCTTTAAGCATGGTCACAGAGGGCCTTAGTGCAACCAAAGTCTGGGCCTTGTTATCGTATAACTCAGGAGGTGCGGTCTACATGGAATGCAGCATGCAGAGTGTCCTCTCGAGGTACTCTGCTGCACTGCCATGTCAGGCCCTGATATCCGCAGGTGATCCATGCTCTGGGACAGTCCTGGCACCCAGAGCACTTTGTCTGTACTCACTGCAAGGAGGAGATTGGTTCCAGTCCCTTCTTTGAACGGAGTGGCCTGGCCTACTGCTCCAAGGACTACCACCACCTTTTCTCTCCACGCTGTGCCTACTGCGCTGCCCCCATCATGGATGTAAGTAACTCCCCACCCCGCCAGCTTTTGTCTGATCACACATTAAGAACCCTGGGCATGCTACAACCCCAAAGCCTTCTAATACCTCTCTGTGTGTCCTGTTTCCAGAAAGTGTTGACAGCAATGAACCAGACATGGCACCCAGAGCACTTCTTCTGCTCTCACTGTGGAGAGGTGTTTGGTGCAGAAGGTAGGAAGGGAGGGTACAACCAACTGCAAGGGAGATAGATGAGAAGGCCAACAGCATTGTTACTTGGGGACTGCTGTCTGCTGAATTTTGGGTTTCAGCATTGCCACTTACAAGCCCATTTTATGCCTAGACGTCCTCTCTTTACCTTTCCCTAATATTACTAATTGTTGTTTATATTGATTTTTTTTTTAAATTAAAGAAGTGAAAATTCATGACTTAAAAGTAGACTGTTGCCTCAGCTGATAACTGGGTAGGTGTCGCACTTGCTGCACAGATATGAAGAAGACCTGAGTTTGAATCTCTAGAACCTGCTTAAAAGGTAGGCCTGGTAGTACATGTTCATGACATCAGTATGCCAGCCAGGGGTGTGAGGTAGAGACAGGAGAATCCTTGGAAGCTCGAAGCCAGCCAGCCTCATGCACATAGTGCGAAGAGAAGAGACTGTCTCAAACACAGAGAGGACTGCCACCAGGGGCTTTCATGACCTCTATGCATGAATCACGGCACTTGCATGCTTGTATTCACACAAACATGCCAACACCTCCGCCCCCCACAATGGGTCACTATTACTTATAGGGTATGAACCCACGTTTTCCTTGGAGTTAACATTTGAATTCCTTTCCTCTAGCTTACTTTTCACTATACTAACCACTAATTTACCTGACAGGACTGTGAAATGCTTTTTGAAACAATCAGCTGTATCCGCTAATAAGTCGGTTCCATTTTATTTTATTGGGTTGTTTGGCAAGAGAGGCAAACCCTCCTGCTCCAACCTTAAATACTTTCTGTCTTTCTGCTAAGCAGCAGTTATTCGGATCCTTCTCCCCAAATTACCCCTGGAAACTCCAGTTACTACCTTCCTTTTTCTGGACCCCATTTCTTTTTAATCTGAATGTGTTCTTTGATAACTCCCTGCATGTATAATGAACATCCTGATAACTATAACCTTCCTCCCTAATCTTCCTTCTGCCGCATTTGGCCCCCTTCCTTCTGACAAGTGCCCTTTCCAAGCTGATGACTTCTTGTTGTTGATTTGAGAGTTTTTTGTTTTGTTTTTTTTTGGTTTGGTTTTTGAGACCCACTGAGCTTCAGCAGGCGGGAGAGTTTGGGCAGGGCAGATGCAGCAGCAGGGAAGGCTTCACTTGCCAGCTTTTGTTAATTGCCTTTTCTCTTCCCAGTGGAGAACTTGACCTATGTCTTGGGTATGCTAGAGTGCCCAGAGTCTCTATGTATTGTTTCAGGTAATCCCTGTGTTTTGTTACCAGATGGAGCAGCTGACCTTCCAATGGCTTTTCAGACTTTGAGCCAATTCTGTCATAAACTTGAGGAGTACTTTGCATTCAGTTCTTGGGAGGTCTCATGCTGAGGACCCCAACAGTGAAAGTGGATGTTCCTTTCAGTCTTAGTTCTTAGTTCTGTCGAGTTAGAGACCACTTCTGTAATTCATTTTATGTAAATACAAGCATCTGCTCCTTTTATGATTCAGACAATTCCTTACATGTCTTTATTCTGTTACGGCCCTTGAGTTGCCAGAACATAGAATTCTATGGGAATTACATTAATATATAGTGGGAACTATTTGCACTTATGGTTTTTAAGACTGGATTCAGCTTCCATAATTGAGAGGTTTTCATTAAGAATTTATTCTTATTTTTTATATTATACAAATTTTATTGCAATTTTATTTTATGTGTGAATGTGAGCATGCCATGTGGAGGTTGGAAGACAAGCGTGAGTTAGTTCTCTTCTGCCATGTGGGCCCAGTGATTGAATACAGGTCCTTGCGCTTGGCCGTAAGTTCCTCTACCCATGAACCATCTCAGCAGCCTATTTTATCTTTCCTTATGTGACCTGTTTTTAACTGTTTGCAAGGTTTTTTTGTCTGAATTGTCTTGACACCCCCCCACCTCTTTTCCTTTTGTTTTGTTTTTGGAGCAGAGTGTCATGTAGTAGCTCAGGCTGGCTTCAGACTTACTCTGTAGGTGATGAGGACTCCAGATCCTCTTCTCTTCACTTCCCAAGGGCACACACACATGTGGACGCTGGAGGACAGCCTTAGGATTATTCCTCAGCCACCTTTATTTATTTATTTATTTATCTACTTATTTATTTATTTATTTATTTATTTATTTATTTATTTATTTATTTATTTGAGATAAGGTCCAAAGCTTGGCTAAGTAAGGTAGGTTGTGTGTCTATTGAGCCCAAGATACCACCTGTCTGTCTCTGTTTCCCAGTTCTGGGATTACAAATGTGTGTCACGACGTCACCATGCTTACTTTATCTGTTTATGTGTTTGGTGGGTTCTGGGGCTCTAACTGAGTTCCTTGTCTTGTGTTTACAAAGTAAGCACTTTATTGACTGACACACCTGTCCTAAAGTCTAACTAGAAGGCTGAAGGGATGGGATTCGAATTCAGGTTTCCTTTCTGTAAGTTCCACATCATACTTTGGCTAACAGATTCTAGCTGCTCTTTGGCTAACACTTAGTTCTTCTCCTGTTGCTAGATTACATTACTTTCTCAGTACCGAGTTGATGTACTTTACTGGACAACAGAGCCATATACAGTAGGACTGACACAATGTAGTAACAAATAACAAAGTTCTTTAAAGTGATTTGCTCTTCATTTGCGCTTGTTTAATGCACTTAATAAATCATTAGGTCTTTCATTTCTATATTGTACTTTAATTAAGCAATGTTCTAAATCATACTAAAGTGTGTCATATTTGCATAATTGGTAACAATAGAAATAGGAGAATAAATCAGAGTATATTAATAAATAGCCATTAAACGAATCCTGTTTATTGCAGAACACTTTCCTCCAACCGTAACAGCCATTATCTTCATCTGAGCAGGGGTGGCTATTTCTATGAGACATAGTTGGGCTTGTTGATTGTTGATATTCCTTCATCAAAAGAGGGCCTAAGGAGAATCACTCCCTGGCCAGCTGAAGGTGATCCTGATCTAGTGGTACGTGATCTCATGTTCTTGGGAGGTGATAGGATACACAAGGTTAGAGGACACACATGAGGTTAGTGGAAGAGGGATTTCCACCTATGCCGCTATAGGGAAGTTCTTATTTACATTCAAGAAAGTTTCTGGTGGTGTGACTGCTCTGGGGTGACACACCTTCTGTAAACCCAGCAAACTCAGTAATTACGCTAAGTTGGACTTCAGTGGAACTGGACTTTGGTTTATCATTGATGACCTATAAGGAGAGGGTGGACAGCACTATCTATTGGTATTTATGATGTAGAAGTTGCCTAGAAACATGTTAAAAGCATATTTGAAGTGCAGCCATCATTTCATTACAAAAGAAAAATGCCCAACTCTTAAGATGACTGCAAAGCATACCTAGTTTCATTGTTCTTGAGTGGGGCTCCTGATTGGGTCATTATGAGTTGAAATAAGCATGATCTTACACTGAAAACATCTATTAATGGAGGCACCCAGCAAAGGGGCTATTTATTAGTTAGAAACTCCTTTTGGGTTCCAGTTCTATTTTTTTTTTTTTTCTGGCTTTCTCGTAAGTGGATCTTGTGCCGTATGGTCAGTCCATTAATTAGCTAGCATCCTGACTTTTATTCCAAGCTGCATAGTCACATACAGAGTTTCAATAATAACAGTTTAACCATGGAATCTCATGGGAAATTAAATCCATTTACATTCTTAGCTCAGAGAATTCCTCTGAGTTTCTAGATGCATTGGTACTAGCTTCCTTCCTAGGGGACTATGTCCTCAGTGTCTCCGTCTTTCTTTTTAATTGTTCATTACCAGGGGCCATGCAGGTGCTCTGTAATTTCCCCTGTGGCTGAGAGTCATATTGGAGTGAAAACACCCTCCCCTCTCTGAAGTACTTTAATTGTCAGTGTCTCTCATTCATTCTCTTGAGGTAATTGGACCCAGAGAGAGCTTCAGGGACAGTAATGCTGAAACTTTCTCAATTTATTGTGTTACTAAGTGTTACGATACTGTGGATTGCTTTGATTCTCCTCCAGAGACTTACTGAGGTTGAGACAGAGGCTCTCTCTACCTGCTGTCTTACTCTGGAGACCACCTGCTCTGAAGATTTCTAAATGGGGGTCATACCTAGGTTAGGTATCTTGTCTTGTAGTTTTCTTAATAAATACCAACTTATCTCACTTGGGGGCATATTAAAAATGTAAAATCTTCAGTACCATCTCAGACACAGTGAAAAAAAAAAAACTGGCCATGTGGCAGGGGGCGTATCTAATCAATCTGCATTCTAATACATTCTCAGGTGAGTGAAGCATTGAGAAGTTAAAAAAAATTCTGTTACACAAAACTAGGAAGATGCCCGTAGGTGGTTTTTTTTTTTTTTGTTGTTGTTGTTGTTTTGTTTTGTTTTTTTGTTTTTTCCTTAAGTGGTGAGGGGTTTGACATTCTGTTTCTTTTAAACAGTCTAGAACTATTTTGAATGGATCAGAAAAGAAAAAGATAAAAAGTAAAGTGAGCTCTGAGTCTGTGGGGTTCACAGGAATAGCATGGGATAGGAATGAAATTACTAGTTTGGATCTTAGATCCATAGATCTTATAATCTTGTCCACTCACCCATTTTGTTAAAACAAAGCATAACTGAGTGCAGCAAGCTGCAACCGACAGTGACAGGAGCTGAGGGCAGAAGCAGCAGCTGTGTGATTTGGGACACAATCCTGACATCCTATTACAGTTTTGTGATCTAGCTATATGATCACAGGACATCTAGAATGTTTATTGAGTAGGCGGCTTGAGCAGTCCACGGAACATACTGTGTTGCATGCCATTAGGCTGGTGACGCATAGGGTGGGTTCTCATGTTTACACAGGTTTGGTGAGGATAGTCACACTTAGATGACCTTTCCGTTCCCACAGAAAGGTCAAGTTTAGGATACATTGAAATCAGGGGATAGATGTGAATTTTATCTCCTCCATTGACTAGTTAGTTATGAGAAACTTATCAAAGACAGTTACGATTTAGAATTATTTTGTTTTAAAATATTTTAAATATGGGACTGGGTAATGGTAGCAAGACCAATGGTATCTAGTTTAGTGGGAGATGGCAGACCATAATGATGATTTAAGATAAGTAAGTGCTATAAAGACAGTGAAGACAGATGAATTGACAGAGAAGGGCTGGACTGACGCCTCTGAGAAGATGACCATTTTAGCTGAGTCACAAGGTGTATCAATGTCAGGAGTAGAACTTCAGGCCAAGGGAACACTTTGTATTAAGGTATTAAGGAGAAATAGCCCTTAATACTTAGACTAGGACCCAGAATCAATGCTGAAAGACACCCACGTTATCTTGTTTTTGAACACGGGGACACTGAGGTTGGGAGAGGTTACAAAATTGACCTTATGACTGCTTCTAATGTAGCCTTAAAGGACTACAAATCTTTGATTTTTATCTTTTCAGGCTTTCACGAGAAGGATAAGAAGCCATATTGCCGAAAGGATTTCTTAGCCATGTTTTCACCCAAGTGTGGTGGCTGCAACCGCCCAGTGTTGGAAAACTACCTTTCAGCCATGGACACTGTCTGGCACCCAGAGTGCTTTGTCTGTGGGGTATGTATGCTCAGTTAGATTCTGTTCTAGGAAAAATAGAAGAGTATTCTTCCCTGAGAGGATTAGCTGCTGCTTAATAACATGGTTTCTAGTCCAAGGAGAGGAATCTATGTTTTTGTTGTTGTTGTTGTTATTGTTTTTGTTTTAATAGTACACAGAACAGATCTTGGGCATTTGCTAGTCTGTTTTGAAATGTGTAATCTAGCCTTTGTTTGTCAAGGACCTGAGTGAAATCATACAACTGGTTGGTAACTGGCAGGAAATATGAAGGTGAACATTTCATTTGGTGGCATTATCTTTTGACTTTCATTTCCTTTGTCTGTGTTCACTCCACCCCCAGGACTGCTTCAGTAGTTTTTCTTCCGGCTCCTTCTTTGAACTGGATGGCCGTCCGTTCTGTGAACTCCATTACCATCAGCGCCGAGGGACCCTCTGCGGTGGCTGTGGGCAGCCCATCACTGGCCGCTGCATCAGTGCCATGGGGCATAAGTTCCATCCTGAGCACTTCGTGTGCACTTTCTGCCTGACTCAGCTGTCGAAAGGCATCTTCAGAGAGCAGAACAACAAGACCTACTGTCAAGTCTGCTTCAATAAGCTCTTTTCACAGTAGTTCCTCTTTGACTCACATCTATTTCATGTTGCTTGTAAAAGTGAAACCAAGTCAGGAAGGAGCACACTTTCTGTCCCCAGCCTTCTGCTCAGTGGGCTAATAGAGTGCAAACGATAACCAAATAAGGGAATTTCTAGATATTCTAGGCTTATAATCTTAATTTTGAAGATGATTCTCATTATGTTTTTAATTATGTATTTGCATGTAGATTTAGATCATGCTATCAAGACCCTCTGGAAGTATATTTTTCATGTGCACAATTCATTCCATCTCTGGTTTTCTCTTTCTCACTTTTCGCCTCTACTGATGTTCCATTCAGATCTTCAGATGTGGGCCCAGAGTCTGACTCACTCTTTGCTCTTAGGAGTCATGACACTACTTTTAAACCCTTAGTGTTTCTGCATTTTTCTTTTGAAGAGGAAGTATATTTTAACTGACATATGTGATGAATAAAGCAGCTTGTGGTTTGGTGACTCACTGTCATATTTGCTAGATAAACTTTTTGCTTACCATGTTATAGAACAGCATGAACTATTTTCAGTTAAATTGTACCCATTCTCTTACTTTCTTGCACACCCCCTTTTAAATCTGAGAAATTAAAATAGACTTTTTGTTTATAACTCTTCTCTTTAGTTTGGACTTTTAACCATTATATTTTTCAGATTTAAATCTTTTAATCATTATAAGGTATCAAGGTTTTGAGAATCTGTTTTCATTCATTTTGTTTATATAAAAAGACCTGGCTGTTCATTTAATACAAATTAATTTCAAAGTGAAAAATAAAGGATTTGTCTCCTTCATACTCGAAACTGCCTCAGGAAGATAAATGACAAATGCCTGTGCACAGCTTCTCTGAGGAAAAATGTGACAAAAGACTAAGTGATGGTCCTTTAGTTTGGACAGGAAAGCCAAGCCACAAACAGTACTTGTTTTTTCAAAATACTTTAAGTTAATTTATAGAAAACCTTACAAGTTACTGAAGAATCCTACTTTCTCAGATCCTGTTGGTTTGTTTTTTAAAGTTGTCTGCACATAAGTGAGGCACTCATGGGGGCTCTACTTTATTTTCTTTCCAAAATCTTAAAGATAATTAAATGCTTACTTTTCCTCTCTAAAGATTTATTATTTCTATAGAATTCTTCCTGCATGTGTGCCTGCACACCAGAAGAGGGCACCAGATCTTACTGTAGATGGTTGTGAGCCACCATATGGTTGTTAGGAATTGAACTCAGAACCTTTGGAAGAACAGCCAGTGTTCTTAACCTCTGAGCCATCTCTCCAGCCCTACTTATTTTTCTTATAGCAAAAAAGCACAGATTTTTAGCACCTTAGATTCTGAGATTACAGCAAAAACAAACAAACAAACAAACAAACAAACCTTTCACTGGAAGGTGCCACTCTCTTTAAAATACACTGAATGTGTAATTTTTAGATTGGTATGCGAATAGTACTTCTTTTGAGTGATTCTTACCAAGATTTATTATATGTCTCCTTTGCTAGGATGAATAAAAAGGGAGTTTTGAGAGTTAAAAAGTAGAGTTAATTCTATAAAATAGGGACATATGTGGGAGGCCACAGAGACATGGAGCCATCTGGCTTTCTGTCCTGTTTGGCTGCCTGAACATAGTACAAGAAGCAAAATATACTTTCAGCTTCTCCGTGTGTGTTTCACTCTGTCTTCACTGATGACATCATAGCAGTGTTTACGGTCACTTTGCCAAACTGAACTTGAAGTAGTAGTGCGAAAGAAGAAATGTTCATCTGCTGAATGTGTGTGGTTTTGTTTGAAGAACTGGCTCTTTTGAGATTTTTTTCACAATCCTAAATAGATGAGAAACAAAGGAGTGTTCGGCATCCCTAGCCATCAGGGAACTGCAATCAAAACTATTTTGAGATTCCATCCTACACACATTAGCATGGCTAAGATCAATAAAACAAGTGACAGCTCATGCTGGTGAGGACATGAAGTAGGAGAAGCTCTCCTACACGGGTGGTGAAACTACAAACTCATGAAGCCTCTATGGGATCAGAGTGGTGGCTCTTCAGAAAGACGGGGACCAATCTACTTTAAGATCCAGATAAACCACGTTTATTCTACCACAGAGACACTTGCTCAAGCATATTCATTGCAGCTCTATTCATAATAGCCAGGAACTGAGGACAACCTAAATGTCCCACCACAGAAGAATGCCTCCTGAGCACATGCCACTGAACTGCTGACAACACAGAGACAGCAGGTGGGGTTCTCTCGGGGCCCTGCTTTCCCATGCCTACACCACCAGGGCCTGTTCTTCTGAGTGCTAAATCTAGTGAGGTGCAGGGCCTGCTCCCCTACTCTCACACTCGCAGACCAGCTCTTCTATACTGCCAAGGAAAGGGGCGTGGCCATCTCTTCCATGCTCGACCATACTTTCAGGGCTGGTTCTTCTGTGCCCATACCACCCAGACCAACTCTATGAGCTACCTAGGTTCAGCGTCCACTCTGCCAAGTGCCATAGCCAGTGAGGGACAGGGCCAATTGTGTGCATCCCTTGATATAACTCCAGGAAGCAGCCCAGACCAGGAACATCTACATGACCTTTTGTGGTATTATGGGAAACATTGACACAGACCCAGGCTGCTATTGAAGGAGTCAGACATAACTCTCAGTGGGAGCATGGGCCAGAATGTCACCACCGCCTCAGGTGGCAGCACAGGACACTAAAATCAAGCTGTTCCTCACCACCTTCCATCTCTATTTTCTCCTCTCTTCATAGTGTACAAATGATTCCCTTCTTTTTCTTTCCCAGTTTTTCACCATATACTTACTTATCACAGTGTCTTCCCCCCACCCTCACTGCTTGGCCAGTGTTGGCCTCTAGGTGTCCTTTTCACATGCACTCCTGCCTGCCTCTGGGTGTCTTCAGCCCATGTACCTGCTGCCACATGGTGACTGACAGGACTCTGGGTTTCTTCAGCTTGTCAGTTGAGCTGTGGCAGCATGTGAGCCTTTTGCCTGTGGGTTTCTTTTTCACTTTTTTTCAGGACCCAGCTCCTGGGATGTTGCCACCTGTATTCAGGATCAGTCTTACTTTCTCAGTTAATCCTCTGAAATGTCCTAACAAACACTCCTGGTGGTTTCCCGCAATTTCCCATATGACTCTAAGTGAAGCTGATAATAAAAGCTGAACTTCACAGAAACCACATAACATTAACTTACATGTGTGGGACCTTTCTGGCCACAGGCTCTTGGATGATTGCATTTATTTATATATCTATATACCAAGACACGATGTGACCTTTATGGATACTGTTTCCATGGAATAGAGTAGAAATAGTTGAGGGCATGAACAAAACTGAAGGGAAAAAACGTGAGAGAAAGTGGACCAATTAATCATTGGTGGTAGAGGAACTATAATGAATTGGCACAGGTTTATATTAGGATAGGAAAAAGTTTTGAGAAATTCTGGGGAAGGACTGGGTAATATAAATACAAATTTTACACAAATTTGATAAAGTGAGTTGAGTGGAAGGCACAGGAAGTAGTTTCTATAGTAAGGTATAACATGTAGAAAAATGCAAATAGTTCAAATTTATTTCCCTGCACAAAAATAAAGTCCAAGTGGATCAAAGAAAAACCTCAACATAAAACCAGACACACTAAATCTGATAGAAGAAAAAGTGAAGAAGAGCCTTGAACTCATTGGAAAAGGATACAACTTCTTGAACAGAACAACAGCCCAGACTCTAAGATCAACAATTAATAAATGTGACCTCATGAAACTGAAGATCTTCTGTAAAGTAAAGGACACTGTCAACAGAACAAAATGAAAGCCTAGAGACTGGGAAAAGATCTTCACAGAGAGAATATCCAGAATATATAAAGAATCCAAGAAATTAAACACCAACAATCCATATAATCCAATTAAAAATGTGGTACAGAACTAAACAGAATTCTCAACAGAGGAATATTGAATGGAGAAACACTTAAATGCACAACATCCTTAGTCATTGGGGAAATGCAAATCAAAATGACTCTGAGATTCCATCTCACAACCATGAGAATGGACAGGATCAAAAACTCAAGTGACGGCTATAGGTACTCCAACACCCAGGCTAGTTTTTTCAGGTTGCAACATGTTTAAATTCATGCATGGGGATCCAAGATGACAGCGACCAGCATGCACCATATCTGAGAGGAAGAGGATCTGAAACTCCAAAATTGGTGAGTGGAGGGGCAACTGAATCCAGAAAATTGACATTGAGGCTTCCTGAATGAGAGGGGACATCACATGAGCTGAGATCACTTAGATTCAGGTTGCCCACGGACTTCTCTGGAAATGGAGAGTGACGAACATTCAAACAGCTCACACTTCCCCTTTTGGGGCCTCCCTCCTCCTCTGCAGAGCCAGCCTACAGTGCCAGAAACTCTTAGCACAGGACTCACTGCCTGAGGACTGAGATATCAGAGGCAGGGCTCTTAGCTCCTCAGCCACAGCTGCCAGCTGTACCAGCCTCCTGAGTCCCAGATGCCTGGTACCATCCTTTCAGGGCCTGGGTCTCTGAGCGGCTGTACAGACTCAGTAGGGCCTCCCAGCCAGTGACTATATGGCTCACGCAATTCTTCAGTGGCAATACAGCCACTAAAGTCACCAGACCTGCCAAACCACCCAGGTACACCAGGCCCGCTGGGCCACCTAGGTCTGTGGACCACTATTGTGGCTCCCCAGGACTTTCCAGCAGGCACCTGGACCAGCCTCCCAGTTCTGCTGCTGCAGCTGGACTCCCAAGTTCAGTGGCTGCAGCACCACTGAGCTGAAGGCACTCCTACACCGGCATTTGCTCCAGCAGGCCTAAACCTGAGAGTAGAGAACAGGGGGAACCCTTGTGCTTTCTGATTTGACCTGCTAGAGAGTAAGTATGCCTTCAAGTGCCTGCAGAGCCCCAGATCTAGGGTCCTTCTAAGCTAGCAGCCAGACATCAGATCCCTCCCACCCATGTATCCACTGTGGGAAACAGAGGGACAGTGTTCTCAACATTGAAGACCCTGTTCTGTGGGTCTACCAGTGGAGTTCAGGCAAATAACTCCTGGAGCACAGACAGATCTGAATACTAGTGGCCTGCAGGCCACTGGGTATTCAGGGAATCTGCACAAGTGAATTGTGCCTGAAAAGACCTCAAGCACCTGCACAGTGCCCCTGCCCCACACTTCAGGCATCTACATCCTCTAATACCTTGTCCTTCAAGAAACACTTCCATGCACACGCACACTCACACGCTCGCCCATATTTGTCCTTCTGCTCCTGCAAATCTTCCTCCCTTAGGTACAGCTGAAGCACCAACGCACACTCTCAAACCATTGTACTCTCTCATCTTCCTGAAGAATTCTCCAGATAACAGAGAAAGATGGTACGGAAGCAGAATCCAAGAACCAACAGTGAAGGTTACAGATAAGCAAATGGCCAGAGGTCAGCATAAGAACACATCCAACAAAAATCAGGACATCATGGCATCACCAGCAACCCCAAAATCAATGGATACTCTAATTTATCAGAAACACAGGAAAATGAATTTAAAGCTATGCTTATCCAGTAATTAGAGGCACATAAAGAGGAAAAAACAAATCT